TGAGGAAGGCACAAAGAAATGGAAAAACGTTCCATGCTCATGGATTGGAAGAACAAATATTGTGAAGATGTCAATGCTACCCAGAGCAATCTACACATTCAATGCAATCCCCATCAAAATACCATCCACTTTTTTCAAAGAAATGGAACAAATAATCCTAAAATTCATATGGAACCAGAAAAGACCCCGCATAGCCAGAGGAACGTTGAAAAAGAAAAGGAAAGCTGGTGGCATCACAATTCCAGACTTCCAGCTCTATTACAAAGCTGTCATCATCAAGACAGTATGGTACTGGCACAAAAACAAACACATAGATCAGTGGAACAGAATAGAGAGCCCAGAAATGGACCCTCAACTCTATGGTCAACTAATCTTCGACAAAGCAGGAAAGAATGTCCAATGGAACAAAGACAGTCTCTTCAACAAATGGTGTTGGGAAAATTGGATAGCCACATGCAGAAGAATGAAACTGGACCATTTCCTTACACCACACACAAAAATAGACTCCAAATGGTTGAAAGACCTCAATGTGAGACAGGAGTCCATCAAAATCCTAAAGGAGAACACAGGCAGCAACCTCTTCGACCTCAGCCACAGCAACTTCTTCCTAGAAACATCGCCAAAGGCAAGGGAAGCAAGGGCATAAATGAACTCTTGGGACTTCATCAAGATAAAAAGCTTTTGCAAAGCAAAGGAAACAGTCAACAAAACCAAAAGACAACCAACAGAATGGGAGAAGATATTTGCAAATGACATATCAGATAAAGGGCTAGTATCCAAAATCTATAAAGAACTCTTCAAACTCAACACCCAAAGAACAAAGAATCCAATCAAGAAATGGGCAGAAGACATGAACAGACATTTTTCCAAAGAAGACATCCAAATGGCCAACAGACACATGAAAAAGTGCTCAATATCGCTCAGCATCAGGGAAATCCAAATCAAAACCTCAATGAGATGCCACCCCACACCAGTCAGAGTGGCTAAAATTAACAAGTCAGGAAACGACAGATGTTGGCGGGGATGCGGAGAAAGGGGAACCCTCCTACACTGTTGGTGGGAACGCAAGCTGGTGCAGTCACTCTGGAAAACAGTATGGAGGTTCCTCAAAAAGTTGAAAATAGAGCTACCATATGATCCAGCAATTGCACTACTGGGTATTTACCCCAAAGATACAAAAGTAGGGATCCGAAAGGGTACGTGCACCCCGATGTTTATAGCAGCAATGTCCACAATAGCCAAACTGTGGAAAGAGCCAAGATGTCCATCGACAGATGAATGGATAAAGAAGAAGTGGTATATATATACAATGGAATATTATGCAGCCATCAAAAGGAATGAGATCTTGCCATTTGTAATGACGTGGATGGAACTGGAGGGTATTATGTTGAGCGAAATAAGTCAGAGAAAGACATGTATCATATGACCTCACTGATATGAGGAATTCTTCATCTCAGGAAACAAACTGAGGGTTGCTGGAGTGGGGGGTGAGGTGGGAGGGAGGGGGTGACTGGGTGATAGACACTGGGGAGGGTATGTGCTCTGGTAAGTGCTGTGAATTGTGCAAGACTGTTGAATCTCAGATCTGTACCTCTGAAACAAATAATGCAATATATGTTAAGAAAAAAAAGAAGAAGAAGAAGGTAGCAGGAGGGGAAGAATGAACGGGGGGAAATCGGAGGAGTAGACGAACCATGAGAGACGATGGACTCTGAAAAACAAACTGAGGGTTCTAGAGGGGAGGGTGGTGGGAGGATCGGTTAGCCTGGTGATGGGTATTGAGGACTGGGTGTTATGCACAAACAATGAATCATGGACCACTACATCTAAAACTAATGATGTAATGTATGGGGATTAACATAAGAATTAAAAAAATTAAAAAAAAAGATTTACAAATAAAGAGAGAGCATGTGCCCACATGCAAGTGAGGGGAGGGTCAGAGGGAGAAGGAGAGAGAATCTCAAGCATATTCCCCGCTGAGCCCAGAGCTGGATGTGGGGCTTGACCTCATGACCCTGAGATCATGACCTGAGCCAAACTCAAGAGTCAGACGCTTAACTGACTGAGCCACCCAGGCTCCCCAGGTTCTGCCTAAATTTTAAATGATGAAAAATAACCTACAAAAGTGTCACATTAGATCTAAAAAAAAAAAAGAAAAAAAATTAAGGAAAATGCCAAAAAAATGGAACTGGAAGAAAAGTTACCAAATGTTAGTAGGACAATGTCTTGGTGGGAGAAATATAGATAACCTATTTTTCACTTTATAATGTTCTATATTTCCTAGCTTATCTCCTAATAGCAAGCCACTTACGTATGTTGCTGTTATTTTGTTTCCTTCACATTCAGTGTGCAAATGTGAATAGAAATTGTAGGCATGAGCACTGAAATGCTTGAGAATCTCAGGTAAAATTTTATCTGTCTAAAAAAAGCACGGGAGTATACAGATTATCTATAATCTTCAAAATGTTTGTGAAGACTAATCTGAAATGTTATTTTAATTCTATGAATTTTAGTGACTACAGATATCATTTAAACCTGCATCTATATACTTACAGATCAATATATGCTGACGATAATAAGATCAATATATCAAACTAAGTCCTTTATAGATGAAAAAAGCACAAGAATAAAGTTACAATTTATAAAAGGGTATAACACTGAAAGATGGAAATCCAGCCTCAAATATAAAAATCATCCTTTCATATTCATACTGACCTCATATTTCTGTTTAAGGTAGTCTCCTCTTCATCCAAGTGTTTTACCCCTGCTCTCATCTCTTTCTCTTTTACTTTGGTAACTTTCAGTAACTAGTATTTGTATATACCCTTATAGATTACAATGTACTTTTCAATGTATTGTGTAATTAAGAGGAACCACTCAGAATATCCAAGTAAAACTGACATTTATAAATTTTGTTCCTGGAAAAATGAATGAACTTATGTGTACCTAAAAATTAGAAGTGATCTCACTGGCACCTTCCGGTATATATCATTTTAGAGTTTACAAGCCATTCTTATACACTATATGCTTTTAAAAAAGTTTCTAGTATTGAAGTATAGTTGGCATACAATGTTCATTTCAGGTGCACAACATAGTGATTCAACAATTTTATACATTAACACAATGATCACCACAGTAAGTGTAGTTACCATCTGTCACCATACAACGTTATTACAATAATATTGGCTATACTCCCAATGCTGTACTTTTCATCTCTGTGACTTATTTATAACTGAAAGTTTGTACCTCTTACTCCCATTTACCTATTTAGCCCTTCCCTCCATCCCCTCCCCTCTGGCAACCACTAGTTTGTTCTCTGCATTTATGAGTCTATTTCCATTTGTTTGCTCATTTGTTTTTCAGATTCTACATATAAGGGAAATCATATGGCATATATTTTTCTCTGTCTGACTTATTTCACTTGCATAATAACTTCTAGGTCTACCCATCTTGTCACAATGGCAAGATCTCACTTTTTATGGTTGAGTAATATTCCATTATGTATATACATACTGTACCATCTTCAGCCATTCATCTATTGATGGACACTTGGGTTGCTTCCATATCTTAGCTATTATAAATAATGCTACATGAACATAAGGGCGCACATATCTTTTTGAATTAGTGGGTTCTTTTTTTCCTTTGGGTAAATACCAGTAGTGGAATTATTAGATCATATGATATTTCTTTTTTAATTTTTAAGGAATCTTCATATTGTTTTCCACAGTGGTTGCACCAATTTACACTCCCATAAGCAGTGCACAAGGGTTCCTTTGTTTCCACATCCTTGCCAAACTTATTTCTTGTCTTTTTTATAATACCTATTTTGACTGATGCGAGGTGATATCTCATTGTGGTTTTGATTTGCATTTCCTTGATGATTAGTGATGTTGAGCATGTTTTCATGTATCTCTTGGCCATCTGTATGTCTTCTTTGGAAAATATCTATCCATGTCCTCTTACTACTTTTAATGGGATTATTTGATGTTGAGTTATAGCAGTTATTTATATATTTTGAATATTAACCCCTTATTGAATATATCACTTGCAAGTATCTTCTCTTATTCAGTAGGATGCCTTCTCGTTTTGTTGATGGTTTCCTTTACTGTGCAAAAGCTTTTTATTTTGGTGTCATCCCAATCTTTGGGTTAATCTCTGTACACATTAGGACATTTAATACAAAGCAATTCCAATTTCCCCCAAAATACTACCTAGGACTTAAAACGGGGCAGTGCCAATCAACCAACCAAAGGAAATAGTGGACTTCCTTCCAGAGAGAACACCAAAGTTGCTACCAAAAGAGGAAGGAGCTCTCAACTGAAAAAGCAGAGTCAGGTAGCCAGTATCTCTTTCAAGATACAGGGAAAGTACAGAAATAGTTCCCTTGTAGGACTAATCCAACTCTGTAGCAGATCTCTTCACTGATAATCTATCAGACTCTTTACTAATAAGAATCAGATTTTTGGGGCGCCTGGGTGGCTCGGTCGTTAAGCGTCTGCCTTCGGCTCAGGTCACGATCCCACGGTCCTGGGATCGAGCCCCGCATCAGGCTCCCTGCTCAGCGAGAAGCCTGCTTCTCCTTCTCCCACTCCCCCTGCTTGTGTTCCCTCTCTCACTGTCTCTATCAAATAAATAAAATCTTAAAAAAAAAAAGAATCAGATTTTCTACTAATAATCTACAACAGGATGTCAGTCATCAGTTTAATAAGCACCAAAAGGAGGCAGTATCGATTCCAAATAGTTTGTTGAAATGGCAGAAGACTATAAATAGATGGAAAATAACTGAGGAAGCAGTGGCAGAAACTGACAACATGCTTCCCCAGTGTATAAAAATGGCATATGTCCCGGAAGCTTTGATTTTATGCTTTCTTTGGTCTCGAGGACATTCGTAGTACATAGCTATCTAGCATTTCCTCACTAGTTTGGATTCATGGCTATTAGGTTATAAAATTTAACTTATGCCTAGTTCCCTACTAATTTAAAAAGTTTAAAAGCAAACATCTATATAATTACATTTTATAATAATTTCAACAAGAAAACATTACAGAATACATTAAAACAAAACGATTTAACAGAAAAGAAAGTAAAGCACAGAGCGTAGGCTAGCTCAAGAGGAGCAGCAGGGAAGACATGACCTTTGGGAAGGCAGTCTCATGCCCACAGTCCTTCTACCCCACTCAGCCACATAAGAACAGGCCGTGGGCAGGAACACTTCCTTACCAAGGTAAAGAGTCCACACAGCCTGTGTTGATCTTATCACCTTGTGTAAGAAGATATATCCCTGTTTCAGGCTCATTGTGTGCTCCTTTGTTCTGCTGAAGTGGGCACCTCAAAGGCCCTCAGACGTGCCCCTAGCGTTCAGTATTTCAGTCTCCACAGGGGAGGTGTCGGCGTCCTTCTCCCACAGCATACGCGGAGTTGGTGCAGGCCATTTGTCCTGCACTGGCTGCCAGGGGACCTGCTGGCCAGGGGGACCAAAGCACACTGTTAGAGCTGATCTTGTTCTGCCCCTTCTATACTTGAGTAAAAGCATTGTTTCATCTAGTGCTTGACTGTGTTCTGTTTTCCTTGGCGACTCTGACATGAAGATGCTGTAGACAGGAGTGTCTGGACTTCTATTCCTGGGGGCTGGCACAGTGATGAGCTTTGCTATCCTCCATATAGTTGGAGTCTTCTGGCATTGGTAACCGGTGCAGTGTTCGGATTAACAGTAACGGCAAAAGTCATCCCTCCCTCTTTTGTCTATTTGATTAACTTTTCTAAGTATCATTGTAGTTCTCAAAGTATGGTCCATGAATCATTAGGGGTTCCCAAAACTTGTATGGGGGGTCGACAATGTCAAAATGACTTTCATAATACAGGTATCCCTCATTATCTGAAAGCAGAGCGTTCCTATGAAACCTTCCATTAGGCAAAATGGGGTAAAGCGAAGAAACGATTACCATTAATTTATACAAAAAAGGTTCTAAGCGTTCCCAGACCCAATAAAACCCTCTTAGGCTTTTCTGATACCTTGCAACACATCTTGCCAATGGATGCACAAAATAAATTGAGATAAGGCACAAACGCTCACAGACACAGTTCAAAGCTATAGCGGCTCCGCACTGAGATGGCGAGGATAGTTCCTGGGGAAAGCGCTTGGCAGTGCCGCCCGCCCTACTTGGGGAGTATAGCTGTTCGCTGCAAAACAGATGCTGAACACTATTTTTGCTTTATGTAAAAGTGGAAATCCTCTATGGCTTTCTTTCGGTTAGTGAGGAAAGAATATAACGTGGGTCTTTCATAAATGCAAGGTGGCATAATGCAAACTTTCAAAAATCAGGGGATACCTGTAATACCAAGATGCTGTCTGCTTTTGGCTGTGCTGATGTTGTACTGATGGCACAAAATCAAAGGTGGTAGAACTGCTGGCACCTTAGTATAAATCAAGTGGCACCAAACTGTACAAGCAATTCTCGTATTCTTCACCAGTTTTAATTCACAGTAAACAGACTGTAACTCTATTGAGGTATGTCTTTAACTCTACAAGATTAGGGACATATATTCAAACATAGATTAAAAGGAGACAATGTAATACATACACTAGAAAATCATTTTCTACTCCTACACACTTTGATTATACCTAATTGTATCAAACTGCCTGAAATTATGCAAACAACAAGACGCTAATCATACGGTTGCACTAACACATGCAGGTGCCATTACTGTTCGTGTCTAAAATACAATTTGCCGGATATCATCGAAGACGAATGAATAAGAACAGCAATAACAACCAAAAGAAATGCTCTAAACGTACCAGTGAAATTACTGTGCAGATTTAAATAAGTTATCATCATGAGAAGTCTCCTGTGATTACGTACGTGTTCAGCTTCACAGAAAGCTAAACATTCTGGACACTAAAAAATACTATGATGACTGATTCCTTTTCTTGGTGACTGATTCCTATGCAGCCCCCCAAATCATTTTGTGTCAAGAAAACTTTTTCCGTATCAAGCACTCCAACCAGCATGTGAAATTTTAGGTGTCCTCCCTTTGAGTTCTATTCAGTCATTTGTCAATTACAATAGAAATGGACAAATCCAAAAAGTCTCTTTTGACATTCACAGTGTAAGTACACTTTGGTCTAAGATATCAGGCTATATAGAAGGCTTCTTTCATCGTAACATTTTAACAGGTGAATTCTTGTCATTTCTTCCTTCTTTTCTGCCTTTTTCAATTCTCTGTTTGGAAACTACTTTGGACACTTAATTGTACCAAGGTTTTGAGATTATATACTATAAACTCTTTATAAACCAACAGTTGTAAAGCACTCAGACTAGGTCTTTTATCTTTCCAACCTGATTTTAGCTCAGAGGATATTAGCCACAGAGAGAAAAGCCCTTTAGCAGGAATTGTCCAGCTTCTTCAAATAGTGTGCTTGCTTCACGTGTGTGGGGTAGGTACATGAGGACTGTTGCTTTGACCACCTGCAGTTAGAATCAGCACACAGAATTCAGGTTTGGGCGTACTCTACATTGATAACAGAAAAGGTATCTTTCTCAAATTTTCTTTGTTTTCTGACTAATCTACACTCTAAAATTGTTGATGTTTCATCTGAGTCAAAATTTATTTCTAGTTCAAAACTGTAATGCCACCTATCCTTTAGAAGAAAATTAAAATGTGGTTCTTGAGGTTTTTCTTTGTGCTGCTGGTAAACTAGCAAATCTTGCACCTTATATCTAATGAAAGTATTTCAACCAGTTGCAACTGGAGCTTCAAAGTCCTTCCCTAGGGAAGAAAAAGGATTGAGCATTATGCTTTCCTCTGATAATTGTCAGGATCACATGAAATTTACTTGAATTTAAATTTGAATTCATTAACAACACAGACCAAATAGAAAAAAAAAAACAAAAACAGAGAAATGAATGTATGAGAAGGCATTTTAAATGACTGGTGTTAAATTCTTTTGTTCTCACAGTTTTATTGAGATATAATTAACATACCGAAGGGCTAATGTTAAATCTTTACTACAAGGCATAAAATTTTAAAAATAATCTATCGTGTGCGGTGCCTGGGTTGCTCAGTCGGTTAAGTGTCCAACTCTAGATTTCAGCTCAGGTCATGATCTCAGAGTCATGAGATTGAGCCCCCTGTTGGGCTCTGCACTCCGTGCAGAGTCTGCTTGAGATTCTCTCCTTCTCCCTCTGCCCCTCCCCTGCTCGTGTGCTCTCTCTCGCTCTCTCATAAATAAAAACTAAATAAATAAATAGATAAATAAAAATCTTTTAAAAATAATCTATTATGAATGTGGAGGGAATAATGTTGCTGAAATGACATCTAGTTATCTCTGATTCCACCCAGTAACACAATGATACACTTAGAACATATACAGGTCTATCTCACAAATTTGCTAGCTGAGAGGTTTTTTTTTTATAGATTTATTTTTTAGAGCATTTTAGGGTTACAGAGAAACTGAACAGAAAGTACAGTATCAATATATACAGTAGTTTCTCCTTACCTGCAAAGAATACGTTCCAAGACCCAACAGTGGATGCCTGTAACCTCAGATAGTACTGAACCCTGTATATACTGTTTTTTCCTATACATACATACACCCCTATGATAAAACTTAATTCATAAATTAGACACAGTAAGAAATTAACAATTACAATATATTATAATAAAAGCTATGTGAATGTGGTCTCTCTCTCAAAATACCTTATTGTACTGTACTCACCCTTCTTCTTGTGATGATATTTGATGATAAAATATCCATGTGATGAGATGAAGTGAAGTGAATGATGTAGGCATTGTGACAGTGCTAGGCTACAACTGACCTTCTGAAGATATATCAGAAGGAGGATTGTCTGTTTCTGAACCGTGGTTGACCATAGGTAACTGAAACTGTAGAAAGTGAAACCATGAATGAAGGGGTGGGGAGGACTACTGTACTCTCTCTCCCTCCCACCCTCAGTTTCCCCTATCATTAACATCTTGCATTGGTGTGGTACAGTCTTTATAATTAATGAACCAAAATTGATGAATTATTAACTAAAGTCCATAGTTTACATTAGGCTTCACTCTCAGTGTTGTACATTCTAAAGGTATGGACAAACATATAATGATGTGTATCCATCATTATAGTATCATACTATGCCATGACTTCTTTCATATACTAAGATTTCTTTCACTTAGCAATGTGCACGTAAGATTCCTCCATGTCTTTTCATGGCTTGATAGTTCATTTCTATCACTGAATAGTATTCCAATAGTATCACATTCCATTGTATGGATGTACCACAGTTTATCCATTTACCTACTTAAAAACATAGCCAAAGAAGAACATAGCCTATTGAAGAGCATAGCATACAGTACATACAGATGTCTATTTCACAAACTGCTGCAATTAAAATTTTTTTAAATACAAAGTGCTTTAAATTCAAGGTAGATTTATTAAATTTTAAAAATTTTAGTGAAATGAAATTTCATGAATGAATGAAATGAATTTAACGAAAAATTAAATCACAATGTATTGTTGAGCCTCTAACACATGGAAATATAACATATTTGCTAAAGGAGGTGGGTAGGAGAAAAGCTGTACTGGGCTAAAGAAATTACTCTGAATGGTAACACGAACTCACAAAGACAATAAATGAAGAGAACCAGAAATCATAAATAAGAAGGTCAAGGTCAGGGGTGCCTGGCTCCCTCAGTTGGTAGAGCATGTGACTCTTGATGAGGTTGTAAGTTTGAGCCCCACGTTGGGTGTAGAGGTTAAAAATCGTATTTGTTTTGGTGTTGAGTTGTTTGAGTTCTTTATATATTTTGGATATTAACTCCTTATCAGACATATCATTTGCAAATATCTTTTCCCATTCACTAGGTTGCCTTGTGATTTTGTTGATGGTTTCCTTTGCTGTGTAAAAGCTGTTTCTTTTGGTATAGTCTTAAAAAAGAAAAGTCAAGGTCAATATAACAAAAGCTATAAATATGTATATACTTGCTCTCTTTCTTTCAGCTTCTTTAAAAGATATAAAGTAATCATTGTAACAATATATTGTTGGGTTTGTAACATCTATATATACAATGTGTATAACAATTATACCACAAAAATGCAGAGAAATGGAATAAAACTACATTAGAGTGAGGTTTTTAATCTCATTGCAATTAAGTTAGCATAAAACTAAAGCTGAGTCTAGTAAATTAAGATGTTTATGGCAAGCCCTAAAGCAACCACTAAAAAAATGCTTTAAAAAAGTGAAAACAAAAACAAAAACCACCTATGAATAAACTTAACCAAGGAGGTGAAAGACTTGTACTCTGAAAACTAAAAAACATTGATGAAAGAAATTAAAGATGACACAAATAAAAAGAAAGGTATTCTATGCTCATGGATTGTAAGAACCAATATTGTTAAAATGTCCATAACACACAAAGCAATCTATAGATTCAATGCAATCCCTACCAAAATACCAACAGCATTTTTCACAGAACTAGAACAAATAATACTAAAACTTGTGTGGAAACACAAATGGTCCTGAATAACCAGAGCAACCTTGAGAAAGAACAAAGCTGGAGGTATCATAATTCCAGATTTCAAATTATACTACAAAGCTATGTAATCAAAACAGTATGGTACTATCACAAAAATAGACAAATAGATCAGTAAAACAAAATAAAAGAGCCCAGGAATAAACTCATGCTTATACGGTAAATTAATCTATGACAAAGGAGACAAGAATATACAGCAGAGAAAAGACAGTCTCTTTAACAAATGGTGCTGGGAAAACTGGACATTCAAAAGAATGAAACTGGACCACTATCTTACACCATACACAAAAATAAACTCAAAATGGATTAAAGACCTAAATGTGAGACATGAAGCCATAAAACTCCTAGAAGAAAACACAGGCAGTAATTTCTTTGACATCAGCCATCACAAAATTTTGCTAAATATGTCTCTTAGGCAACAGAAATAAAAAGCAAAATTAAACTATTGAGACTATACCAAAAGAAACAGCTTTTACACAGCAAAGGAAACCATCAACAAAGTCACAAGGCAACCTAGTGAATGGGAAAAGATATTTGCAAATGATATGTCTGATAAGGAGTTAATATCCAAAATATATAAAGAACTCAAACAACTCAACACCAAAACAAATGAACAAATAATCTGATTAAAAACGGGCAGAGCACCTAAATAGATATTTTTCCAAAAAAGACACACAAATGGCCAATAGACACACGAAAAGATACTCAACATTACTAATCACTAGGAAAATGCAAATCAAAACCACAATGAGATATCACCTTACACTTGTTAGAATGGCTTGAATCAAATAGACAAGAAATAATAAGTGTTGGCAAGGATGTAGAGAAAAAGAAACCTTTGCACACTGATGGTGAGAATGTATATTGTTGCAGCCACTGTATAAAACATTAAGGAGGTTCCTCTTAAGATTAAAAATTACAAATAGAATGATCCAGTAATTCCACTACTGAGTATTTATCCAAAGAAAATTAAAACACTAATTTAAAAAAGATACATGCAGGGATGCCTGGGTGGCTCAGTCAGTTAAGCATCCAACTCTTGGTTTCTGCTCAGGTCATGATCTCATGGGTGCTGAGATCAAGCCTAGCACCAGGCTCCACGCTCAGCGGGGAGTCTGCTTTAAGACTCTCTCACTCTGCCCCTCCCACACATGTATGCTTTCTCTTTCTCTCTCTCTCTCTAAAATAAATATATCTTAAAAAAAAAGATACATGCACCCCTATCATTATTTACAATAGCCAAGATATGGAAGCAACACAAGTGTCCATCCATAGATGAATAAAGACAATGTGGTACACATATACAGTGGAATATTATTCAGCCATATAAAAGGATGAGATCTTGTCACTCACAACAACATGAATGGACCTAGAGGGTATAATGTTAAGTGAAATAAGTCAGAGAGACAAAGACAAATACCATATGATTTCATTCATATGCGAAATATAAGAAACAAAACAAATAAAGAAAAAAAGAGACAAAAAAATAGACCCTTAAATACAGAGAAAAACTGGTGGTTGCCAGACGGGATGTGGACAGATGGGTGAAATAGATCAAGGAGGTTAACAGTACACCTATCATGATGAACACTGAATAATGTAGAGAATTGCTGAATCATTATATAGTATGTCTGAAACAAATATAACACTGTATGTTAATTATACTTCAACTTAAAAAAAAGGAGGAGAAAATGTGAACAAAAATCATTAAAGAAAGTAACTGCTCCATTAGGAAATAGTCACCTGATGCAAAATAAAGCAGTAAAAGAGGGATAGAGGAACAAAAAACACATTAGACTATAGGAAACAAAGTAACATGGCAGACATAAATCCATCTTTACCAATAACATTGAATGCAAATGAATTAAGCATTCTAATCAAAAGGCAGAGATCATTAGACTAGACTAAAAAGATCCAAGTATGTGCTGTCTATAGGAGACACTACAACAATGATCTCTCATGCCAGCATGAACCACTGGACAGCTGGAATTGTTGTATAATATGAGACAAAGTAAACTAAAATTTTTTAAAAAGTTACTGGAGGGACATTTGGTAATGATAAAGGTGTCAATCCAAATGGAAAAGGTTTGTAAACATGAATGCATCTAATGAGAGAAGTGAAAGGAGAAACAAGTAACTCAACAATAATTGAAGTTTTTAAGACCTCACTTCCAATTAGACATCTAACAGACTCCAAAGTATGATCTGACTAAAACAGAACTCTTCTTTCCCCCCACTTAAAATCTGTTCCTCCTTCAGTCTCTATCTCTGTAAGCAGCAACTGCATCCATCCAATTGCTCAAGCCACAAACCTCTAAGTTGCTGTCTCTTGCACCCCACATCCAATGAATCATTGAATTCTATAGCTTGTCCTTTCAAAATATATTCAGGATCCAGCACTTTTTCCATTTCCACCCTGGTTGAAACCACCACCATCACTCACGAGGATTACTGAATTACACTCCTAACTGGATTCCATCTTTCCCTTTCTGGTGCCCTGCTGTCTATCTCCATACATCAGCCAAATGAACCCTCCAAAACAAATTAAATCAGGTCATTCCTCAACACTGAACTTATTCCATAAATTCGAAATGAAATCTAAATTCTAAAACCTCCCTTTCCAGCTTTTTTCCTACTCCTTAATCACTGTACTCTCTTCACACTGAACACTTTATGATGCAATTCTTAAAAATAACAATGTATGTATATATGTATAAAAGGTGAGAAAGAATAGGCCCTACCATAAAACATGAATATTTATAAATTATAGCCAAATATAACTTTTATTGCAAAAAAGTATTTCTAACTTATGTTTTTATGAATAATTTATATAGTAAAATATATAAAAAGCCTATGTATAAAACCCCTTAGACCCAGTGTGGTGATAGTATTTAACCATATACAAAATCTGGGAATAAACCATGCATGTTACCAAAAAAATCAGAACAAAAGAAATTTAAAAATACAAAAATCGAAAAAAACTTTACATGTAGAAATAGTTGGTATTTACTAATATATGATCCAGGCATTTTCATTCATTATTTCAATTAATTCCCATAATAACCCTTGTGATGAGAACTATTACCCTCATGTTACTGATGTGTAAAATGAGGCTCAGAAAGGTTAAATAAGTTGCTTGGTAGAGTGGTGAAGCCCAAGTCAACTCCCCTTGAATGGTCACGTTCTAAATACTATTCTAAATATCGCTTCATCATAGTCATATACAATAGTGCAAAACTGAAATGACATACACATCCACCAACAAAGGAAAAAAGAGACATCACCTGGTTATAAAAATGTTTACTGAAACTAGAATTATGTAAAAATAGATGGGTGTGTTACATGAAAAAGCCAACTATCGCATTCTACTCATGAGTACAAGAAAACTTAGTATTTCATATGGAAATAAGTCAAACCAAGCCAATATATTAATGTTGGTTCAGTTTGGACAACAGAACTCTAAGTGGTTTTGTTTGTTTTCTTTTGCTTTTTGTATTTTCCAGATTTTCGTGAATGCTTCAGAACTGTTTTTAAAACAACAAAAAACTAAATTTCATGGAACAAAAGTCAAAGTTCTTGATTAGTAATAAAAGAAAATTCAGTCTCAATGTCTTCCAGCTACGGATTCGAAATCTAGATCTAAACTAGATAAAACCTTAAGTATTATCTAAAAGGCGATCTACATTCTTTTAACTGACATCTGAGAACTCTCCATGGACCAGGAGTTTTTTTCAAAGGATTTTATGATACTCTTTATTTTGTTTGTAGCCTACGTTAGGATGAGCTAAATAAGAGCTTATCGGGATTGATGACTATGTAGCTTAGGTGGTCCAAACGTTAATAATCTCTTTCCATAGGAGGAACATAATTCAAAAGCATTTTCAAACTACCCCTGGAGTGTGTATCTTGCACGAAAGTAATAATACTTAAAAGGAAGCAAAGATGGTTAAAAAAAAAAAGTCAAAAATGCATGCTTGTTCTCAAAACCTTGTCTCCGGGCCAGAACACTTTTTTGGTATTGTTCGGTAGTGAGGCTCCAAGCGTTGCGGGTTTTACGCTCCCTGTCTGCAAAAGAGAGTCAACGTCCGCTTTTTTTGAATTCGGCTTTTCGCGGCGGTCAGCAAGGCGTGCCAGGTCCCCCCGGCCGCAGGCCGCGGATTTCGGACCTACTTACTAGTAGTCGCGCCGGCCCTGCGGCTCCGGAAAACCGCCTCAGCTCTAAAGGTGGCAAGAGCGGCGAAACTGACAGGGGCAAAAGAGCGCGGGCTCAGGGCCCGAAGGAGTAGCGCAAAGGCTGGGCGGCTCCGCCAGGCGCGACGGAAATGTACTGACCATAGAAAACCAGCTCTCAACCTACAACCGCAGCTACAGAAAACCTACCGCCGGCGGCGGCGGGCCGCTGCCTCCCTCAGGCACGCCCACCCCTTTCGCCAGACGCACGCATGCACGCACGTACGTACGCACGAGCGCGCTTCTCTGGGCGCGCGGACGGAGTGCCCACGGTCGGGAAGCGCGTGCTCGCCGAGGCCCCGCCTGTTCAGGGACTTCCGGCCGGCGGGTTCAGCCGCTTTACTGTCCCTCCCGCGCGGGTCGGGTCTAGCTGTGTCTGCACGTTTTCGGTGCAGCGGTTCCCAAACTCTGGGAGGAAAAGCAGAAGAGTGAAAACCTGGACTTAAGTTTGTCTTTTAATAAACGTTTGCTGACTTATTTAAAGTAGTACAGGATGTTTGCCTTAATTTTAACTCCGCCTTCCCTAAACCCCATTCTTCCAAAACTACAACACAGTTTTGGGTGAATCCTTAACAAATCCCTCCTAGTGCGGTCGGAACTGGTAGTAACTGTGCAAGGGAAAGCGAATTGGTGAGAAAATCTTAAAGGAAATTTGCCAGCATCATTTTCTGAAATGTTTTGTTTTTGTTTTTACTATGCTCTTTTTAAAAAATTTGAAGGGTTTGCCCAAGTCTAAATTTGAGCCAGTCATAATGTGGCTTCAAACCTGAACAACTTAGCGTCTATTCTCCCCACCTATCCTCCCTCAACCACACTCGTACGGCATGGTGAGCAGTGTCAAATCACTATGTATACATTTGAAACTAATAAAACATTACATGTCAATTACACTTAAATTAAGAAATTTTTTAGAATCAAACAGCAGAGGTGACAAAGGAGATAATATTGTGGTTGAGGAAATTGGGATTTGCCTATGAGCTTTCAGCAATAAGCTACTCAGCATTAAGGAAGAGACCCGGGGAAAATAAGGTATATCTGGATGCCCATCCATTGCTCTTTCCATTACCTTTAACTGAAAACACATTTGAATATCAAAGAGCTGTGTAGGTGGGTGCTCAATAAGTAGATGCTAAACAAATGACATTTCTGTGGGAAGCAGCGTAAGGAAAGAGCACAGAAAGGAGTTAGATTTCATTTCATATCCTGGCTTGGCAATTGGGAACTAAGTCATCATAAGTTACTTTACCTCCTGGTGCCAGTGTGCTAGGCTTCTTTTGCCCTAACGTACATTCTACTTTATATCCAAGATGAGATCTCTTGCAGGTTTGCACTTATTTCCAAGAATAAATCTGAAATAGGGTTGTACATACATAACTATGTTCATCTATTTTAATTTTAAATTTTATTTTAAATATTTTTTGTTATTTTAATAACATTTGAGCCAATCGATACAATGACACATGGCCTTGCCTTCATGGGGGCTGGGGCAGAGAATATAATAAACCATAAATATAAGAATAAATTCATGAATTCATACTACTTTTGAAAAGATACATAGAGATGAGAATCTAGAGGCAGAAACAATTAGAACTCTGAAATCCCAACCTACACACTATTAGTAAATAATAGATATAAACCATCTTTAACATACTTCCGAAAACTTTTTCCTATGAAAAAAGTCTTCCAAGTTATTATACCTGAATCTCATTGTTAAGGAGAAAGAGAAAAATCCTTCACAAAGAAAGCAATGCAATTAAGGACCATATAAAGAAATGCTACAGTGGAGTCAGGGGAGGAGAGGGAATCCCCAAAAATCAGTGTTAGTGTTCCATATTAATAGAGTCCACGAAGGTAAAACGTTTAACATTTTAAACACGTTTAGGATTAAGCCAACGAGGGACTCATTTTGTAAGAATATTTGTATATCTTCCCCTCTGAAAACCAAGATACATAGCAAGCCCAGATATTCTGAGGTCAAATTTCTATGGTGAAACCAAACTCAGTTGATTACAAGAATGAAAGCGATCGTCACCCTGATTTCAGGTTCCAGAGTATAAAGAAAGATATTTTTGAAAGAGAACGAATATACAAACCTACGTGGTGTTAAAAGCTCTCCAAGAACCAGTAAATATTTTCTCATAAAATATTTCATTTAATCGATTACTGTAGAATTCATTATAGAAAAACAAAATCACATAAAGTGATTTGGACCAAAAATATTACTGAACCAGCAAACCTAACGACTCCCGAATCGTTACCCCTAAATTAAGCAAAAGCTGAAAGGAAATGCAAACGTTTCAAATAAATGTATTAATAATAATTCCGTATTAAAAGACATTTACGTTCTAGATACAGTCCTAACCTCCCAGTATTCTCAAAATGTCTTTCTACAAACTTTCCCTTAATGCCACTTCAGATTGGGTTATCTATCCAGTAATAAGGCATTTACTATGTCTCCTACTCAGCCCAGCAGCAAAATCATCATCTTGTCCTAGTTTGAAAATTAACTCAACTTGTGGGTCCCTCAGTGAAACTAGTTCTCGGAACCGCACACAAAATACCGGTATCTGACTCCCTCTGTCCCTTCTTTAGCAAGTTTTCAGAACCAAATGTTCGGTGCCAACACTCACTAGCGGGTAAGCCTAAGTCACTCACCCCTAAACCCTTAGCAGGTGCCGTCTATAGCTCCTCACGCCCAACCCCCGCCCCGGAAGTTGCGTCATGGCGCTCGTGCGCCATGTCCCCGGATGCACTTCTATATCCGGATTCTTAGAGCGGACTCAGAGCTCCACGGTTCCCTACGCGGTTAGCACATGCGCGACGGCTCTGCTCCCTCTTCCTCCACTTCCACTACCTTATACCGTCCGGGAAGCCGCCGCCACCGCCGCCGAGGAGTCAGGAAGTTCAAGATGGCCGCCGCGGAGACTCTGTCGGTGCGGGAACAGCCAGAGTAAGTAGTCTCTGTGAGCGGTGCGGAAGGCCGGCGCCCAGGAGGCCGCCGAGTGGGAAACCGCGGAGACCTGCATGGGCGGGCGGGAAAGTTCAGGCCTAACGGCGAGAGCCAAACTTTGTCTTTCCCCGCGCGATACGTTGTTGGGCGGGCGGCCTTCGAGCTTCGCTCTCCCGGAGGCCGCGGCTGTTGGGTCGAAGGCGGCCGCGGCCTGCCGCGCGTCGTTTCCCTGGGAGGCGTACGCGCGAGCGGCCTCTACAGGTCCCGTGCGCGAGGCGGCTGCCGCGACTGTGCGGTCGCGCCTTAGTATTTCTCCCTCTGGGACCGAGCCGAGCTCCCTGGCTGCAGCACTCAGTGCATCGGTTTGGGGCACCCGAGGAGCAGTGGCGGGAGAGGGGCAAGCCCTAAGACTTTCTGCCGTCGTCCTGCTGCTGGTGTCAGTTTTAGGACCTGAAAGCAGGGAGGAGAAGGGATATAGGGCTAACCTCTTTGACCATCCCAGAGCTATATAATAGTTTGTCGCTAACGGGGTACTTCATTTCCCCATCTCTGTGCTCTTAACTCCAGCATCATTCGATCTGTTTTTTCCCCCCTCTGCCTATTGGCAGCTTATTTGCCAACTTGCCAACTTGAGGCAAAGTAAGATCAAGTTCTTGGTTTTGAGGCCTGACATTTTTGGCCTGAGTTTGTAGGGCTTCTTTGGGAGTACAAGGGGAAGAAGTAGTAGCTACTTCCAAACCCAAGCACTTTAATGTCTATAATTAAGCTAACGTAAGAATCGATGCGGCCAAGTGAAAACATAACTTGTATATGCTGCAAAGTCTAATCGTTGCTTAAAAGCAGTATTTTGTTCTCCTGTTCATGTTGGGAAAACTCAAACAAGAACCCAAAATAGAGAGTGCATTTTAAAACAGAATTCATAGAGCGATCGTTTTGTGCATCAGCATTATCTGATTTTTTTAAAAATCCGTTTTAGGAAAGAGATACAGTCTCCCAGCAACTAGGGACTGAGAGGAGAAATTTTTACTACCAGGCGCCCCAGCACTTCATTGCTAGGCATTCAGTTCTGGACTCCTCAATCATTTGTTTTACTCAGAAAATTAAACTAAGTTGAAATTAAGGGCTTTTGAAGACTGCTCTGTTATCTTCACAAATTGACTTAGAAGAGAGCAGATGGATTCTAAAGTTTTAACTAGACTTCACCTCCTTTTGTTTCTCATCGAGTTCACAGCGTGGCACGTTCCAGTATTTATGCCAGTACAATACAAATGTTATGCAGCTGTTTTTTCTAGCAATCTCTTCAAAGTTCTGTAGTATCATGTCCATTTATTTGATTTCAGGGACCGTTCAGATTAATTTTGAGGAGTGCTGGGATCATATTTATATGCATATTCAAATACTAGACTTGATAATTAGCATTTATTTATGCCTTTGCAACATGAATGCCCCTGAGATAAATAGTCTTTAATTCTACCTCGCCTCCTCACAGGACTCTTGGTATAAATGGAGTATTTGGTCTGTTAAGTGTCGCACTTAAAATGTTTAACAAAGATAAATTTTGTATGAAAGCAAGTACTGTGCGCTGCTCATAGTGAATGCTGGAATATAGTGTCTGAACAGTTCTTTAGAGGACACTGAGTAGTTTACAATTGTATGAACTCTATTCGAAGTGGAACATTTGGGACGAAATAAAAAGTTAAGTTCCCTGAAGGCTTTTTAGTGGCTTTTACGTTTGTCCTTTAGCTCTCTTTAGTTCAGCCTCTTTGATGGTTTTAAACATTTAAATTTTTATCGGCATTCACTTATTTGCACTTACCAAGTACCAGATACTGTTCAAAGCACTGAACAAATATTTTATCCTTATAACGACCCTATGGAGGTAGATGCTGTTATTTTCTATATTTTACAAATGGTTAAACTGAAGCACAGAGAAATTAACTTACCCAAGGTCACACTAAGTGACAAACCCAGGATTTAAACCCAGGTAGTCTAATTCTAGAGCCCTGCTCCTAACTATTGTACTGTGTACTCGCCCACTATACATTGTGGCTCCTTTTAAAAATAGCCTTTAAGGTTTGAAATCCTTTTTATTGACTTCCAGTGTCCCAGAAAGGTCCCTTTTTTTTGATGTGACAGTTCTAATTCTTTGAAGCTTAATTTTCCACACCTGATTTGGAAAAGGAGGGATGGAGGAGTTCATTTTAAGACTAGTTGGTCTTTTGAATCCATTCTTATTTTTACATCTACATTAATTCTGTATTAAAGTAGTTGAAGTTGTCAGAGAAACAGGCTTAATTACTTTCTTTGTAAAGAAGAGAATGCTCACCATTCTGTTTCCAGAGCATAAATTGAATGCCTCCCAGATAAAATGTCATTAAGAGTATTCTTTTTAAAAATTTGAAAGACGAAGTTAAAATAACACTAGTGGTTCGTAATCAGTCTTTATTTTAAAGTTGTTTCATTGTGCCAGATGCCCAGAGACCCCTCTTTGAAGGATGAAACTTACACGTTGCATTTAACAAAATAAATGATAACACTCCTAACACTTCCATATAGTCTGCACTTCAAATCAGCTTCATTTCCAAATAATGTGATTTGAAGGATATTACTCAATTCTCAGTAAGTACTGTTTTATGACAGTCTTGTTGTAGACAATTTTAAATGTTGGTTTAAACATAGACCTGCTAAATGTGTAAATTGTAAAGTGTTAAATTGCAGAACGTAAATGTTAAAATGTAAATTTACATATATGGAACTTAAATACCTGTATTTATTATAAACATGAACTATGCAAGAAGACTATGAAGTTTCTTATCAGGGTAGCTTTCCGTAAAGTTTTAGAAGAAAGTTGTTGATGATGAACCTAAATTAGCTGTTTTAGCACAAGCTTGTTACGTGTAATATGCCATCAATTCATTGAGTTCACGATTTCCTGATGTACCTAGTCAGACTTCAGTTGGTATTTTCTATGGAATTTGCATTGAGAGAGCAACTTGAGGAGGGTGAAGGTCTACTAACCCCAGTGTAGGAGAACTCTAGAATTATTAAGGTTAAACTAATGGGCCCTAAGTGCTTATAGCATCTTTATCAGTAGTGTAGTCATTTCTTTAGATAACATTCATTAAGTTACGTTAGAAACTAGGGACACTCATGGAAATAACTCAAGTGACACTGGACATCTTGATGTAGCTTCTAATTCTCAGAAGCTTTAGGAGCTAGGTTTTCTTTTGAAGGGAATTACTTCCTCTGTGGGTAAACTCTTAAGAATTTTGATTTGCAATTCCTTGAAGACTTCTAAATTGTAGAAAGCACTAGAAAAGAGTTCAAAGAGTAGATTTTTCTTGGGGAGGGAGGTAATTAAATTTAAATCATTTGGGGGCACTGCATTCACCAGATAGGTGTATGCACTGTGTGAGGCACTGGAGATAGAACCGAGCAAAAACAAAATGGTTCCTGTCAAGAGATGAGTGTAGTGTAGCCAGTAAGCACAGCTGTAGTCCAATGAATACAATTTTTATGTGTTATTCTATATAAATCATTTATTGACACAACAAATTACTTATTGAGTACCTGCTTACTATAGGTTAGAAAGTTTACTAGGCCTTAGGGATAGAGCAGTGAACTAAGTAAATTAAAATTCTGCTCTCATAGGGCATGTGTTACAATACGGAGAGACAAACAAGAATTAGGTGGTGGCAATTACTTTAGAGAAAAAAAATAAGCAGAGAAAGGGGATATGTGGTAGGGTAAGGGTTGTGATTAAAATGAATTGGTGAGGAAAATTTGACTGAGAAAGTAATTTAAGCAAAGACCTGAGGTAGGCAAAGGAACCAGCAATGTATATGTTTGGGAAAAGCATTCCAGGTGGAGAAACAGCAAGTACAAGTACCAAGGCCCTGAAGTAGGGTTTACCTATTGTTTAAGGGGAGCGGTGTGGCTAAGAGCATGTTAAGTGTGGGAGGAAAGTAGTAAGATCAGTGTGTTGGGGAGGTTGGGCAGATAGTATGGGGCCTTGTAAACAATTTTGGTTTTTATTCTCAATGTGATAGGAAGCAATAATCAAGTTTCACACAGAGTAGTGATACGATCTGACATTTTAAAAGCATCTTCAATCAAATGGAAGAGCTCTTGACTGACTTGGAATGTAATACTAGCCTTCTCACTAGCTTGATGTGTGTTTGACCGAAGGCAGGACCCTTAAACTTCCTTGAAACTTAGTCTCCTCTGTCCTGGAGACTTAGTATTTCTTCAGTACTTTGTGTGGTAGCCTTTTATATATGAACTTATTGCTACAACAAGCCTGTGATTTATCAATACTGTTATTTCCCCAGTTTGTACAGTTGAGAAAACTGAAGCTTGGAGGAGCGACTTGCTTAAGGTTAGACTAGGTGTGTCATGTTGGAAACACCATTTGAACAAGGTAGTTTGACTCAATCCATGCTCTTTGACCATATTACTGAAAATAACATTCTTAGTATCAGCCCTGACAGCTCCACAGTGTCATGGTGAGTAAATATTAATCCAGTTTCTGAGGAAGAATAATCTCTTACTTTTGAGGTGCTTGGTTTGTGCTAGGCACTATTATGAGCCTTAATAACATCTCTTAACAACCATGCAATCCTTACAGTTTGCTTTGAGGTAGGTACTATTTTCTCCAGTTTGTAGATGAGGTGCCTGCAGACTCGAGGCCACACAACTAGTATTGGAATCAGGATTTGAAACCAGATAGTCTGGCTATGGAGACTGGTTCCTAAAGACACATTAGAGGATCTTTAGATAGTTTGAGTTTTAGCTTATTGACTAGAATTTTGTACTTTGGGCACTGAGATTTTATATGCCTGAAAATCATTGTCGGCCTTTAAACAGGTTCTCCATACTTGTCTCCATATCTTGAATTAGCCTAATTCAGTTTTTCTCACACGTTTCCCCCTATAAGTCGAGTTTCGGCGGGGGGAAAAAAAAACCTATACTACCACTTTCTAGGTTGTGTGATGGGAGATTTCAGGGTAAGGGAAGTGGTTACCTATATGAGAATATAGCCTATATAAGGAACAAAGTTGAAAAGTCTTTGTATCGGGGCACCTGGGTGGTTCAGTCGGTTAAGCGTCCGACTCTTGGTTGCAGCTCAGGTCGTGATTTCAGGGTCCTGGCACGAGCCCCATATAAGTCCCCGTGCTCAGCGGGGAGTCTGCTTAAGGATTCTCTCTCTCTCTCTCCCCCTCCTGCTGCCTCTCCCTGCGGGTGCGCTCACATTCTCTCTCTGTCAAATAAAAACCTTAAAAAAAAAAAAGAGAGAAAGAAATGTCTTTGTGTATTCTACTTAAATCTGTGGTTTCCCCCCTCTTCCCACCATAATAGAACCATGTTGTTTGTTTTTGTTTGTTTTTGTTTTCACATAAAGATATTACACTTTCTTTTTCTAAGTCTTTGAGAAAATTTGATGATCCAGAGAACCCTGGAAAGCCTCTTTGCAAAGCCTCTTTTCTCCACCAGTGCCAAAAGTTCAGTTGCAGCTTCTGCAACCATTCGGTATGGTCAGGGGGGATTTATTTTTTCCCAACAGAGAAGAACAACCATTAGCAGCCTTCTATTTTTGATGTCTCGCCCAACTGTGAGGAATGTGCTAGTTTTAATTCATGTTGATTCCTGTAAGCATTTGACTGTCTCAAGTATTTCCCCCAGAACTTTTTCAGGAAATGGAAGTCATTTGGCTGATATTTGCTTCGTGACTCCAGGTTCCTTAATTTATTGGACAGAGGTAGTAATTTATTTTAAGGACAAAGTGATGAAGTGGGGAAATTTATAAAGCTAAATATTATATATTTTATTTTTCATACGTGTTTGAAGTGCAAGTCTGTGGAAATTCCATTTGTAGGACCAAGTTGACATGCCCATCTTAACATTGTATGCTACAAGAACTCTTCTGATGACGGAATTTTGATTAAAGTGCACTGGAAGATGCAAATATATATGTATATTCTGTCGTCTTTGTTATATATTTATTTTTTGTTTGTTTATTTATTCTGTCGCCTTTGTTCCCCATTAGAGAGAAGTCAGTCCAAACTAAAACCTCTCAACCAGAAGATACAGCTTTCTCTGCAGCTGTCTTCAATACTTTCTTCTTTCTCACAGTCCACAGTACCAAAATGGGGATTGGCAGTCTGACAAAAATTTAAATTTCCTGCCATGGGGTAGTTGTATGTTCTTCATGTTCTGCACACCACCTCATTGTTATCAACTAAGAACTTTTCAAAAATACCTCTAGTATGTCACCTCCCTCCTCAGCCCTTCCAACTTTACTGAAGACTGAGACCTGACTGGAGGACCAGATTTTCCTCTGACTCCTGCCATAATGGCAGTGTCTTTACAGACCACTATCCGGCAGCCTAATCCTGCAGTTCCTGGGCCTCTGACCCCAGTGAGCCTCTAACTCTATCTCAGCCATTCACTCCCAGAATCTCCTGCAATATCTTTTCATCTCCTGGAATTGGTCCATTTGAGATCTTAACCATTAGACCAGTTTCTTCACAAGTTTGATGCCTGGCAACACTGATCTGCTTATAGTTTGCTATCTATAACTGTACCTTTTGTCACCTTTTTCTTTTTTCCTATCTAAAGTACTCTTTTCCCTTCTCATTAATTTCTTACTCATTCTCTAGGACATTTTTACACAACCTTTATTTTATAATCTATGTACCTTCTCAATAAACATTCCTTCTCTCCTTTCAAAGTCTCTGCTTAACAAGTAGCTGGGGCTTTTCTGTGATCTCCTTGACCGTTTTCAGAATGATTTTAGTTGATCCTTCAGTGTTCCCGTAATGCCCTTATTTGTGTCTTTATCATTGCATTCTTCCAGTGTTTCATGTGACTTTCTTTTCCCCTGAACTATAATTTCCTTGAAGTGGCAGGTACAGGTCTTGTACATCTTTGTTTTCCTGCTACCTTTCTTAATGCCTGCGTTAAGTGTAGTGATTTAAAAAAAAATATTAAAAGAAATTGAATTCTGAGGCACCTGGGTGGCTCAGTCAGTTAAGGATCTGACTCCTGATTTTGGCTCAGGTCATAATCTCAGGTTCATGAGATTGAGCCCTGCATCTAGCTTCACGCTGGGTGTGGAACCTGCTTAAGATTCTCTCTCTCCCCCTCCCATTTCTCCCCTTCCTTCTCTTAAAAAAAAAAAAAAAAAAAAATGAATTCCTTAGTTCTTAATTTTGGCACAAATAATAAATTTAGTAAAAGTACAGGAGTATATAACTTGAAGGACTTGGACAAAATAATCCATATCTTCCTCCAAAAATAGTGTGTCTGAATCCAGATGATTTAAAGTCTTACGTTAGTCTCACATTCTGGGATGTGATGTTTTAGTATGGAATGATTTTAAAGGAGAAGGTTAAATAATACTATTGTAGTCTGTGTTTAACCTGGGATTAATGAACAGCAAGGATTTAGCAAAATAATTTAGAATCATAAACTCTTTCAGCATAGTCTAAGCATTTAAGCATAAAAGCTACCCCTTTGATGTAATTAATTTTATTAATATTTTTTTTTTGCATGGCACCAATCAATATGAGTGTATTTTGGGAAAGTAATCTTTCATTTGAAATTTAAAGAGACTAAATAGCCTGTTGAACAAATACTGGTTGAACTGTGTAGGCTTTTGCTGATATTGGACTATTGTTGACCTGCAGGAGACCCTTTGATGTGATTCAGTGGTTGCTCAGTGGCCACTACAGGCTGAGCATCCTAACTCCTTGTCAGCTCACTTTGAAATTTTAAACCTTTGGGGGGTTAAAACATCAGCCACCAGTGCACACTTAGAGTGCTTTTTTTGGATATAGCTGAATATTGGTTGTAAAGATTATAAAAAGAAAAAGTATACTTTTCAATATAAAGTGGAGAAAGAGATTAGTCTCCCAATATATGGCAGTATGTTTTCTGGAAAAAGAAAATAGGGGGTGGGGCATGCCTTTGGTGTTAAGTCTGTGTGGGAAATTATGGTTTAAAAACAAGTTACTGAGTGACTTTAAATCAATATTAACATTTTACTGTACTGGTTTTGGATTTTCTTTTTATTAAGCGTGATTATTTTGACTTCCCTCATTATGTATGTATTCTGTGTATTTGAGTTCAACCATTGGAAACAAGTTGAAGTTAAATCACTAAGTCAGTTTTTGCCATATATCTTTGCAATTAAATGTCTGAAGCTGTTCTGAAAATATTTCAGTGACTAACTTCATGTATTACATTGAGATGTGTTTTATCATTATTTTGTTATGACTAAATGCTTGATAAATGATGGAATTTTAAAATGTGTTTGATAAATTTATAGGATGGAAGATGCTGATAATTCCGAAAAGAGTGTAAATGAAGAAAATGGAGAAGTATCAGAAGACCAGTCTCAAAATAAGCACAGTCGTCACAAAAAAAAGAAGCATAAACACAGAAGTAAACATAAGAAACATAAACATTCCTCAGAAGAAGACAAGGATAAAAAACATAAACATAAGCATAAACATAAGAAACACAAAAGAAAAGAGGTTATTGATGCTTCTGACAAAGAAGGTATGTCTCCAGCAAAAAGAACTAAACTTGATGATTTAGCTTTGCTGGAAGACTTGGAAAAACAGAGAGCCTTGATTAAAGCTGAACTTGATAATGAGTTAATGGAAGGAAAGGTCCAATCTGGGATGGGGCTCATATTGCAAGGCTATGAGTCTGGCTCTGAAGAAGAGGGGGAGATTCATGAAAAAGCAAGAAATGGAAATAGGTCTAGTACCAGATCATCAAGTACAAAGGGGAAACTTGAACTAATGGACAATAAAAATAGTACGAAAAAGCGAAGTAAAAGCAGATCCAAAGAACGGACTAGACATAGGAGTGATAAAAAGAAAAGTAAGGGAGGTGTTGAAATAGTTAAAGAGAAGACAACTAGGAGCAAGTCAAAGGAGAGGAAAAAGTCCAAAAGTCCATCCAAGAGAAGTAAGTCTCAAGATCAAGCAAGGAAATCAAAATCTCCTACCCTTAGAAGGCGATCTCAAGAGAAAATTGGGAAGGCCAGATCTCCTACTGATGACAAAGTTAAAATTGAAGATAAAAGTAGGTCAAAAGATAGAAAAAAATCCCCAATTATAAATGAAAGTAGAAGTCGTGATCGAGGCAAAAAATCCAGATCCCCCGTTGACTTAAGAGGTAAATCCAAAGACAGAAGATCACGGTCCAAAGAGAGAAAATCAAAACGGTCTGACACGGATAAAGAAAAGAAGCCAATTAAATCTCCCTCTAAAGATGCTTCTTCTGGGAAAGAAAATCGGTCACCCAGTAGAAGACCGGGTCGAAGTCCTAAAAGAAGAAGTTTGTCTCCAAAACAACGGGATAAATCAAGGAGAAGTAGATCTCCACTTGTAAATGACAGAAGGTCTAAACAAAGCAAATCACCTTCCCGAACTCTGTCTCCTGGTAGAAGAGCCAAGAGCCGATCCTTGGAAAGAAAACGAAGAGAACCAGAAAGGAGACGACTTTCTTCTCCAAGGTAACTTGTTTTCAAAATGTTAATGCTTTTTACCAATGCACCGGATTTTAAAAAGGAGAAACTAGAACTTGTGGACAATAAAAAATGAGGTAGTGCGATCAGTCTTACAGTTTTAAGTAGATCATGTCCACTAACTAAATTAATATTTGTACTTTTTTCAGTGAGTAGCTTGACTGAAAGATTTACAAATACTGAACTTGGTGACAGAATCAGTTTTTTTTCCCCCAGGTTCTTAATTTAGTATCAATTTTGCAGAATCACTGCTTTAAATCCAAGTAATTTGGCTGATAAATCTATGTATACCCATTCATGTATTCCCATTTATGGGAAGTGAGGGGAATTTCTAGAGCAGGGATTTTTCATTGAACAGTATAGGCTGAAATTTTTAACTTTAAAAAAGGAGGTGTCAATTTAAGGATTGTGATGTATCCATTCATTTGAATTGGCATGATTTTGAATTCCAACAATGTAAATTGGAACTACCAAATTTTTTTTTGCCCCAAAAATAAAATTAAATTGAAAGTGGACATTTTTTTGTTACTAATTCATATACCTATAATCTCATTGTTTAAAAAAAGTAGTATGTCTTAAGTTTAGGAAGAAGAATAGTGTAAGAAATTATTTTATTTTTTTACCTATAATAATGAAAATAATTCATATTTGTATAATGCTTTTAGCCCATCGGTTTTTTTCCTCAAATTCTCCTGATTATCTCTCCTCATAAAATGGAGTGACTCTCATATTCAATTTATAAAAGAGAAAATAGATTGAGAGATTATTCCATTTACCTAGCATCATAGAACTAATAGGTAATCAAGGCACATGAAGGATTTTAGCAGAGTGGGTGGGGATTGTTTAGATTAAACTATTTTAGAAACTGATTTTTTTTAGTATCCTTATGTTGAATAATTGGACATGTGAAATTATCACCCAGGTTTAGCTTAAAAGAAGGTTGGCTTATACTATGTAAAGATATAAATTCCTAGCCACGTATTGTGTGTGAGTATAAATACAAGTTGACCTTGAGGTTTAAATCGTTTTTTCTGAAAAATTTCAAGAATGCTGTTTTCACAAAGTGCTGCATCTTAGATACTCTTAATTCTTCTAAGTAGCATTGTAATTAAATGGCCCCTTCTTCCTTTAGCTTTCTAAATTGAGACAGTTGTTAGTGTTGCTGATTATGTCCTCTAAAGTGTTTCTAAGTGATCTTTGTCTCTTTCAGTTTGTCTTCCCTTTGAAAAGGAAGTTCAGAGCAGTTTATTAAGGACTAGTGTTGAATATTTGAAACAATTTTAATTACAGAAAAGATACTAATTAAAGAGAAATTCAGATAAGGCAGAAGCCTGTAAAGTCTTTACCTTTTCATCCTTCCACTACCAGTCATAAGAATACATCCTTCTAGTTCTTTTTTTATGCACGTACAATTATATGAATGTTCTTTCATACAGAAATGGAGTCCTACATGTTAAAATGTGATTTGCTTTTTTCATGAAACATTTCTGTGACAGCAAAGATCTTTTTTAGCTCTTTATATAGCAGCACCACATTTCACAGTATAGATATACAAAGTTGAGCTTTGAACAACACAGGGGTTATGGGCACCAGTTGCCCACACAGTCAGAAATCGGCATATAACTTTTGACTCCTCCAAAACTTAGCTACTAATAACCCACTGCTAACTGGAATCCTTACCAATAACTTACCACGTATTTTGTATGCTCTAGTATCATATATACTGTATTGTTATAATAAAGTAAGTTAGAGGTAAGAAAATCCTAAGGACTAAATACATTTACAGTACTGTACTGTGAAAACAATCTGCATGTGAGTGAACCTGTGCCGTTCAAACCCATGTTCAGGGGTCACCTCTAATCAATCCCTCACTGAAACATGAAAATTTTGGTTGGTTCCAGTTTTTCAGGATTGTATGCAAAGATGTCCATTGTTTATATGTGAAGTTTTTTGTAGAATATATTCATAGAAGTGAAACTGCAAAGTCTAAGGTAACGTACATTTACATTTTATGAAGTACCGTCGAATGTCTTTCCAGGAAAGTTACACCAATATGTATTTCCTTGACTAGATGGACTGTCCCTTTCTCTAAACCCTCACTTTGATTTTCTTTGTTGTAAGGGTAACAGTAATTGTAAGATGCTGTTGTATGTAATATATTAAAAATAAGACTATATTACAAAAATGTCAAGATTTAGGAAGAAAACAGTCTTCAAACTGAGGAAATGGAATACTGTCACTTAGACAAGTTTTATTTGAGTTGTTTATCTGGAATTAGAATCAGTGGTTTAACAACGTGAATAACCTTTATAATTTTTCAAATTGTGAGACCAGAGGAAGTAGACCTTCTACTGTGTGCATACCATAACACCAAAATGTCATTGTGATTTTCTGAATTCAGGTTTTGTTGCAAAACATGTTAATCTGTGTGTTCTGTCTTCAGGTTAGTGTGCCCTTAAGATGTCTTTTATGTGCAAAACAAATTCATTAATTTAATGTATTTTTCTATTAACCTGTATTTGGTCCCCTTAAGAACACGACCTCGAGATGATATCCTCAGTAGACGTGAAAGATCAAAAGATGCCAGCCCGATCAATAGGTGGTCTCCAACCCGAAGAAGAGCAAGTAGATCTCCCATCAGAAGACGGTCTCGTTCCCCACTCAGACGTAGTAGGTCACCCAGGAGAAGAAGCAGGTCTCCTCGGAGGAGGTAGAGATATGTTACATATGTTGACCTTTTTAATTCATTAAACTCTGTATGCTTCTGAAGCTTCATATTAGCTCATTAGGTGAGTTTCCTTAAAGACCATTTTTCTCTGAAAAATTGAAGCTGTGATCCCATATAGTTTCCTTTTTACCAACATGTGATATTTCACACACACTGATTTTTCTTTATCTTTTTTTCAAATTTAAATCAGTGGTTCATTAAAAACTCAATCTTTTGAAAAGGGAACACTTTTTTTTCCCTAATTCTTAAGAAAGAAATACTACGTGAGCTATGCTTACTGGTTTGTTTTGTTTTGTTTTAAGCAGGATAGATCGTAAGGTAATAAATAAGTAGCCCAGTTTCCAGTCATTATGTAATTGCAGGTCTCTATTTTTCTATTAACTTGTATTTGGTCCCCTTAGAACATGACCTCAAGATGATAGCCTCAGTAGTTGTGAAAGACTCTTGGCAAAAACCTCTTTAACTTGTATTTGGTCCCCTAGAACATGACCTCAAGATGATAGCCTCAGTAGTTGTGAAAGACTCTCTTGGCAAAAACCTCTTTAACTCACAGTAGTAGAAACTATTTTATGTAAAGCACATGTAGTGAATTGGTTAATCAAAATGTTGGTTTGTAAAGCAGGAATCATTTTAAAGTATACACATTAAATTCTTTTTTAAAGGTGTATCTATTTTAGAGCATGCATGCAAGTGGGGGGAAGGGCAGAGGGAAAGAATCTCAAAGCAGACTCCCTGCTGAGCACAGAGCCAGCCTCAGGCTCCATCTCACAACCCGGAGATCATGACCTGAGCTGAAACCAAGTCTACCACTTAACCGACTGAGCCACTCACACAGCCCTGTGTGTTAAACATTTTAACTCAAACATAAGTGGACTTTTAATTTGCCAATTTTTTAACATTTTTAATTGAGCTAATACATGAATGTAGTTTAAAAAGACAGCACACCAATGGCTTATATTCTAACCAGTGGATACATCTTTACATTATCTCTGAGTATTTTTGTATACTAGATTTCTTGAAGTAGAAGTGCTTTGTCTGAGGTTGTGTATGTTTAAATTTTTGAAGTTATTGCTATGTTATCTATTGATTCAATCTTACTTTGGACAGTTTCTTTTCTTTTCCTTTCTTAAGTAGACTCCGCGCTCATAGTGGAGCCCAGTATGGGGTTTAAACTCAAAACCCTGAGATCAACACCTGAGCTGAAATCAAGAGTTGGATGCTTAACAAACTGAGCCACCCATGCACCCCAACAATTACTTTTTTTAATTCCACCCATCACACTTTCTTTTCTACCTAATTGTATCACATTTCTCTATGTTGTTGTTACAGTCATTATGCTCTTGTGCCTATTGCTCATTGCTGAGCAAGTAGTCAGGGGAAGGGGGCAAGGAAAGACCTTCCTCCTAATGCTTCTAGCCTTCTGTCTCCAAACTGACTAATAGGCCTGCTTGTACAGTTATTGTAGAATTTTTTTCCCTTTTCTGTCCTCTGGATATTCCCTTGTTTCTGTCTTATTTTGTGGTTCCCTTTCCTGTATCCAGCATCTTCAGGTTTTACTTCCTTGCTTTGTTAATGCATCTCCAACAGCTTCCTATGAAAAGGACATTTTTGGGGACTTTTGTTTCTTAAAAGCCCCCCCCTTTTTTTTAAATCCCCATTGCTGATTTGATTTGTCAAGGAGTAGAATTGCAAGTTGAAATAATTTTTTTCTTAAGAACTTTGAAATTGTTATTCCACAGATTTCTGGTTTCCAATATTGATTGCTATTGAGAAGTCCTGTTCTGATGCCTGGGCATTTCTTAGAGGACTTGCTTTTTCTCTCTCCCTCTCTTTATAATAAATGTCCTGCATTCTGGAATTCCACTATAACGTGCCTTGGTGCATGTCTCTTTCCATTGATTTTGCTGGGCACTAAGTAGGCCCTTTAAAGCAGAAATATTATGGCTGCCTATTCTGGGAAGTTTTCTCTCTTTTGTTTTGGTTTCCTTCTTGCCCATTGTCTCTTCCCCCCCCCCCCCCCCCCACTGGACCTTCTGTATTGTTCCACTGATTTCCCCCCCCACACAGTCATCTTTGATGTTTGTCCTTTTGTTCTACTTTCAGTCTAGGAGATTTTCCCATTCACCCTTCTTACCTTTCTATTGATTTTTTTCCCCTGTGCTCATGTATATTTATTTTTATTTCTAAGACTTGTTGGCTGTTTAATTTTTTTATGACATTTTACTCATGTTTTATAGAAATAGCATCTCTTAGGTCAAAGATGATAATGAATTTATTTTATGGAGTTTTTGTTCTTGATAGTTTTCTTACCTATACTTTGTTTCTTCCCAGATTCCTTTTGTTGTTCCTTACCTTTTTTCATTTGAGGACTTTACTCATAAACAGCTGGATCCTTCTTGTTGCCTATTCTCATTTAAAACTTAGCCACTGTGAAAGCTGAATGGAAGCTTTCTTCCATTCTGAGAATGTAGAATTTGTGGATTAGTGGGTATCACTTCAGTGTAACTAAATCTCTTTAGCATATCAATGACTATAGTCCTGTTCTTTTGGGCTAGCAGTTTTCCAGAATCCTCTCATCTGCTGGAGAATATTGTCATGTTTGCCTGGAGAGTGGTGGTTCTTCATAATGTAGACTTTCCCTTAATCCTTTAATGTTCAGTACTGTGCCTCCCTGCTACCTTGGGTCAGTTTTTATAACAACCAACACCTCTCTATAAAATAAATTTTAAGTATTATGCCAGAATGTGAAGGGGGGTTTTTGGCATTTGAACTATACAGAGGCAAGTTGTTGCTAAGGCTTTCAACCAGTTCTTTTTAGCTTTTACCTCACACCACATCCAACAGAATATGGTGTCTCCAGTTCGTGAGGCTTTCTTGGGTTTTGTGGCATGCATTTACTTGTTTCTTATTTACCTTGTCTATTCCTGTTGGACTGATATTTAAATTTGATTTATTGCTATTCTATCCAATTTGCACATCAAGATTTTGTTGACATTTCTGTTGTCATAGTTCTTCTCATTCTCTTTGCCTGAGGGTTTTCTTTTCAGTTGTTCCTTTCATGTTATTTTAGTAAGGTTTCTTGAGAAATGTGACATAAGCATGGTAGACAGATGTGACATTAACCAGAGTTTGCCAATTCTTTGTAGACTTAGCAGCCTTTTGTTTGGAGTTCCATAGCATCTTTCCAGCATAAACTTCACCTTTAATGCTTGAGCTGTAATATCAGTTTCTGTTACACATGAGGCAAGATCTTTATGCACTTATAAAAATGTCTGAGGGGCATGTTAATTAGACTTGGAATTTTTGTCACATTTGTCTTTTCTATACCTTATTAGCAGTGATCTCTTTTTAAACTCGGTTTTATTGAAACATATTCACATAAAATAAATTCACCCTTTTTGCTGTAAAGTTATATGAGTTTTGACAAACACATAATCACCATAATCAAGAACATTTCTGTTGCCCCCAGAGTTCTTTTGTGCCCCTTTGCAGTCCAGTAAGAACAATACCTGTATTTTAGTTCTCTTCAATTAAGCTGATTAACCCAATCTTTCTGATGTTATTTTACTTTTAAATTTTTAATTAACCCCTTTTTAAAAGATTTCATTTTTAGAACAGCTTTAGGTTCACAGCAAAATTGAGCTTTTGAAAAGTAGAAAGAGTTCTGTATACTACTGCCCCCAACACACCCACAGCTTCTCTACCTTTAATTGACCTTTAAAATGTGTGTATGTATGTTCCCCCCCCCCCCCCATAGGGACAGAGGTCGGAGGAGCCGGTCACGCTTGAGAAGGCGGTCTCGATCACGGGGTGGTCGTAGACGTAGAAGCAGAAGCAAAATAAAGGAAGATAAATTTAAAGGAAGTCTTTCTGAAGGAATGAAAGTTGAACAAGAATCTTCATCTGATGATAAGTAAGAATGGAATTTCCCATAATTTCCTTTTTCCAATTTAGACAAGTACTGTTTGACCTGGAAATCTTTTAATTTCCACCTGGATATTGTAAGTGAATCTATTAATTAGGTCCTGAATTTAAAAATTAATTTTTGTGTATATTTTATAGGTTAAAATTATATGGCAGAGGTCATGGTTTTCTGAATTTAGAGGTTCCAGTTTTGACTGGAATGAATATCATGAGCCTTCCCTTTTTCATTTTTGTTAGAGACAGCAGATCTATTAGATAGCCTTACCAATCTTGATTACCAGTTTTACAGTGGTTGGGGGTGGGGGGTATAGTAATTTTTAAACTTTTCAGTTCGTGTAAAATGACACACATCCTTTGCAGTTGAAGCTATCTGGTGTTAGGTATGCCTGTTACAGTGTGGAAAATACAGAAACATTTCACTGTCTAGTGGATAAAATTTTTTTAATGTGAATTTAGTTGTCTAGATAGAACATCTCAAAAAATAAGATAATTTAGAGCAGTGGTCCTCAGCTGGGGGTAATTTGCCTTTCTGAGGACATTTTGGCAATCTCTAAAGGTATTTTTGGTTGTCATCTTGTGGCTAGAGACCAGAGATACTGTTCAGCATCTGCTAATGCACAGGACAACGCCCTCTTCCATAACAAAGAATTATCAAAATGTCAGTAGTGCTAAGGTCAAGAAAGCCCAGTCAGAGCTAGGTGATATGCAAGTTAAGGGAAGGGTGTTAAACATAGATCCTGATACCTTGAGAATGCAGTTTGCTTACTGGTGTGGAATGAACATTCAGCAGATCATAAAAGAGGCCGTGCGGGGAGGGATTGTAAAGATTCGGAGTTCTTACGGGAGGAAATTGGGACCAGTGGGGCAGTGTCTGCGGGTAGAGCCACATTCCTCGTCAGATTGTATGCGAATATTTACATACATATTTTTGATAGGGAAAGGATCCATAGCTTTCCAAGGATCTGTAGCTTTCTGTGACCCAGAGAAGGTACTAGTTTTCTTACGTGTCTCTTACTCTGTTAGGGGTTAAAACTGAGGCTGGCTAGGTGAAATGACTTTAGTAATAGCAAGGTCATGGTAGAGCCAGGGGTCACTTTTTTGAACTTAAGGATCTTTTTGTTCCCTAGTTTGGTGCCATGAAACAAGTGAGGAGGAAAATGAGATACAGAGGGTTAAATTACTTGCCAGGATTCCAAACCAGGCAACTGAGAGAGTTTAGAAACAGGATAAAGAGAGTAAGATGGCTTAAGACATTTGCTGGAACTTGCGGATGACCTATGTTTTCTAGTTTTTATTTTTAAACTGTGTAATAGTTATGGTTTGTGACTGTCTAAGGATGTTTGAAATTGTATGTATATATGTGCAATTTTTTTTTTTTTTAAGCCTTGAAGACTTTGATGTAGAGGAAGAAGATGAAGAAGCCCTAATAGAACAGAGAAGAATACAGAGGCAGGCAATTGTTCAGGTATGTGATATTAGTAAAGTTTGAGCAATCTTTTTAAATAATTACTCTCTTAGCAAAAAAGGTTTTTACTTTAATAAAGAATCGATGGTAGTAGCAATTGATTAAGTCTTAAGGAAACGTATATGTGAGATTATGAGATTTGAAAAGATGATAATTTCTTAAGTTGAAATGGTTGCTCTTTTTTTGTTATATATTAGGATTCAGATATAAACTATAAGGCAAAATTTGAAGTGGTTTTTTTCTTTTGGTTTGTTTTTGTTTTTTGGAATTTCATTTAGCAAAAAATTATGTAATTACATCTGTTTCTATGTTGGGGGGGAAACCATTTTAATGTCTAAAAAAATAACAGATTTTCTTGTGTAAATGTGATTGCTTAAATGGGACATCTCAAAAATAATTTAAAAGTAGTTTAGAGGTAGGTGATTAAGCAAATGGGGTGGGGAGAGGGTGTTGTATATAAGTCTTTGTGTAGTCATTTAAGATTACCTTCCTTGGAAGATTGTCCGTTGTGCCTCGGGCATCCTGAGATAGAACCATGACCACTAGATCCTTTGTGGATGGCAGTCCCTGTAAAGTGTAATGCTTTCTCTTGATCATGGGAAGGTGAGTGATGGAGTAAAGAACACATTCTGGAAGAAGTGAAAAATGTTTAGATACTATAAGGAGGATAGCAGGCAAAAGGAAAGAATAGTTGTGCCAGCTTACACATACATAGCAAATCATAAATCTAGCACTGGAGGTCAGAGCAAAGGAAAGAACTTGAATCACCAGAGGATGTAGGGCAAAACTGGAATTCCAGAGAAACTTGCTTTTCTGGGGCACTGATGAAATTGTTGTTATTAAACTGATATCCCTAGAGACTTGGTTGAATCTTTTTTTGTTCTTGCCCAGGTCCACAATCCCTTATCTCCAGCCCTTGGGGCCAGATGTGCTTCAGAACTCAGAACTATTTGAATTTTAGAAAGGTAATATGGTGCATCTGTGTATATTATTTAGCCCCATCAGTGGGGTCTAGAACAGCACCCCACTATCAAACACATTAGTATTTCTGCAATGAAACATACTATGTTCACACTGGGGGAGATAAAAATAAGACTACAAATAGTATCGCATCTGTTCAGGTGAGGTTTTGTCACCTAATGAATGTGCACCAAACGTAGAAAAACTTCTTCAGAGTTTTGTGGATTTTGGAAATACATGTAAGGGATTGTGGATCTGATTCAATCAAGACATCAATACCTTTTTAAAGTTTTTAACATTGACAGTCTTTTCAGTGCAATACCTCTTAGCAGATATGCATCAGATTTTACGAAAATAATATGTTGTATTATTGTTACAGAAATACAAATATCTTGCTGAAGATAGCAATATGTCTGTGCCATCTGAACCAAGCAGCCCTCAGAGCAGTATCTGTACACGGTCACCTTCTCCGGATGACATTCTGGAAAGGGTAGCTGCTGATGTGAAAGAGTATGAACGGGAAAACGTTGATACATTTGAGGCCTCAGTAAAAGCCAAGCATAATCTAATGACTGTTGAACAGAATAATGGTAAGTTAGATTTTTGTTTTGACATGCTTTTCTCTGAATTTTTAGCTCTGTAAATAATGAAAAAGATTGTTTTGAAATGGGTAAAAGTGAAAGGGATTAGAAATGTTGCCCCTCCTAAATTTTAGGGTAATAACAATGTTAAATGTGTCCCAGTGAATGTCCTTTATAAATGTTTTGATTAGTTCACATAACCTAAACAGTATTGTACTGAATCTCATGTATTCATTACCTTCTGTTTGGGGCACCTGGCTGGTTCAGTCAGTAGAGCATGTGACTCTTGATCTCGGGTTTGTGAGTTCAAGTCCGGTGTTGGGCATAGAGCTTATTTAAAAAAAAAAAAAAAAATGTCATGACCTTCTATTTTGCTTGCTAGAGTCATTTAAAGCAAAACACAGCCATGATTTCATTTCATAAATGAAATTGTGTATCTCTTCTAGATAAGGACTTTAAAAAAAAAAAAATTACTTGGGTACCTGGATGGCTCAGTCAGTTAACTGTTCAACTCATGATTTCGGCTCAGGTCATGATCTCAGGGTCCTGGGATTGAGCCCCATTTTGGGCTCCATGCTGAGCAGGGAGTCTGCTTGAAGCTTCTCTCTCCCCCCGCTCGCACTTTCTCTCTAAGTAAACAAATAAAATCTTTTAAAAATAAAAAACATTATACCTAAAGAATTGATCATTTTTAAATATCTTTCGAATTACAGTTGGTTGGTTTGAATCAAAATCCAAATAAGATGCACATCTTTTAATCTCCAAGTCTTTAGTAGTTATTCTCATCCTTCCCATTTTCTTGTGAGGATGCTGAGGCCATGTGTCCTATAAACTTTTCTCTTTTGTGATTTTGCCACATTCTTGTTTCATTTATCTTTATTTCTTCTATCCTCCAGGTTTCTTATAAACTAGTATAAGTGTAAGAGACCTGAGTACATTTACATTAATTTTTTTTGGCAAGAATACTGCCTAAGTGGTGGTGTGTACTTGCATCGCATCAAGTGGCATGTGCTGTGTGCTTGTCCTATTTTTATTGATATTGAGATTGTGTGTTTAGATAAGATGATCACATCTGTCTAACATGAAGTTGCCCTTCAGCTGTTCACCTGGCAGTTTCAGCAGCCATTGGTCATCATTCCTTAGATCCACTGTTTCATGAGGGGTGGGGGCAGGTGGGCACACTCCGAAGCCGTGATTCTTAAATTTCCATAATTCCTTTTGAATTATTAGCTATAATTCTGTAAAAGAAGAGGTTTCCATTCTTTCGTTAACCAAGAAATATAGTTTGTACAGGAAAGTCAGGATAAGTGCTTGGTTATTTTCTTTTATTGACTGATAACTTAGGGTAGAATAGAATTGGTACATTAACAACCTCCAGAGATGACCAGTGAGATTTGGGCTGTTTCTGTTAGGTTTTTATTATTTGGTATCATTATGTACTAAAATTCTCTCTCCAACTGAGATGGGGAGGGAGGGAGCATTTTTAAGTTGGTTTCCATTGTCTTTTTGATCTAAACCCTACAGGATTTATTGGTATTAATATATTATGTTTCTTTCTAGGACGGGCTGGCAACTGTTTAAGGTCAGATAGTCAATATTTTAGGCTTTTGTAATTTATGCGTTTTTTTTCTCTGTTCCAACTACTGAACTCTGCTGTTGTAATGCCAAAGCAGCTGTGTTCCGAAAAAAACTGTGTGGACATCAAAACTTAAATTTCATATAATTTTCACATGTCACAAAATATTCTTATGTTTTTCCCTAAAACCTTTAAAAATGTAAAAATGGGCCATATAAAAACAAGCAGGGGACCAAATTTGCCCCACTCTGTAATTTGCAAACTCCGTTCTACCACATTGTAAGATATCACAGGCTCACCTTGTGCATATCTTGTCCCAGAATAGAAGCAGCTATTGCTGCAAGGAACCCGGGTTCCATTTAATAGGAAATGCCATTTAGACTTCACAAAGCACTTAGGAGTGCCCATTATTCATGGGATTTTTCAGTGGACCAAGCTAGGACGTGCATTTCTGCATTTTTGGAAAGGGGAGGTTCATACTGAAAAATTGCCAATTCAAACTTGAGATTACAGGGTTCTTATTAACCTCTTTGATTTTTGACTTACTTCTTTTATAGTGAAAAACATGATTCCCAATAACATTGATTATTTAGGTTATTTTGAAGCTTTTATTTACAGTTACCAGTATGATCACCAATATTCAATGTAGTGAATGCAAATTGAAAATTTAATGATTCTTTTTATCCTTGGGATACATTCCAAGGTGTAAAGTCATTTGAAATACTTTGGTATGGTTATACCACCCATTTGATAGATTTGGGTTTATTTTAATTGCTTTTGATTTTTAGGAATTTTCTATTTGATTATTAAAATGTCTTTCACATGTGTATTTGTATTTTGCCTACACAAGCACACACAAATATATACACACTCATCAGTATGAAAAGATCTTCATTCCTTTTTACAGCTCTGTGCTATTCCAGTGTAATGAATGTGCCAAGGCTTATTCACTGTGTCTTCTAATGGTGGATGTTTGGGTTGTATCCAGTTGTTATTATTCATTGGAGCATTAATTATAATGGCATTGTGCATTAAGTCATTTTTTTAATGCTAAAACTGTATCTTTGAAATAATTTCCTAGAAGTGGGGTTGCTGGGTCAAAAGAGTATAATGTGCTATGTTTCCAAATTTCACTCTGTAAGGCTTGCACAGTTTTGCCTCCTGCAAGTAATGTTTGAGTACTTGCTTATCAGGGCCTTGTTACCAGGATGTTATCATACTTTCAGGTTTTTTAGCCTATCTCAAAAGAGAAAGGGTATTTCTTTATAATTTTAATCTGTATTTCCCTTACTATAAGTGAGATTGGGTGTGTGTTCATATCCTTAAAGCCCTTGCATTCTTTCTTTCTTTCTTTTTTTAAGGAACTCCTTTTATTTTGCCCAGTTTTTCTTGGGGATTATTGGACTTTTTAGGGGAGAGATACATAGAGATCTAGATCTATAGTGGGGGTATTAACCTTTTGAGATTTTAAGTTGCAGTTTGGAAATGGAATTTTTTAAAGAGGAACTTTGAATGTAATACATAATTAATTTAGCTATTAGCATATTAATTTAACAGTGGAGAAAATACTGACATTAGGTCTTTCAACTTTCTAAAATGCATCCTTTTAGTAAAAAATGGATAGCTTTCTAGATTTTAAGTGTTACAAAGTGACTTTAAGTTGGGTATTAGTGAAAAACTGATGTGCAGGTTTGAATTGCTAGTGATATTACATTAATGACTTATTTGTGTTTTAATTTGTATCCCTTCATTTTTCAAATATTACTGTTAATTTCCATTAAGGTTCATCTCAGAAAAAGCTCTTGGCACCTGATATGTTTACCGAATCTGATGATATGTTTGCTGCCTACTTTGATGTAAGTAATTTTAAGTCATAAAAACATAACTATTAAAATATATATAGGGGTGCCTGGGTGGCTCAGTCGGTTAGGCGGCTGCCTTTGGCTCAGGTCATGATCCTAGGGTCCTGGGATTGAGCCCCACATCGGGCTCCTTGCTCAGTGGGGAGCCTGCTTCTCCCCTGCCTGCCGCTCCCTCCTGCTTGTGCTTGCTCGCCCCCCTCCTTCCCCCGTGTGTGTCAAATAAAATCTTTATTAAAAAAATAATTATACATATATATAATAAGTATGTGTGTTGTATATAGAGAGAGAAAAGGATAAAGCAAATTAATAAATGTTAACACTTGGACAGTCTGAATGAATGGTATCTGGAAACTCTTTGTACTAGTGTTGCAGCATTTCTCGAAGTCTAAAATTAGGTTAAGATTTTAAAAAGTATGGCAGAACGATTTGAGAGCTTCCGAAAAGTTAAACACCAAATGACTTAAACGTGTAGTTATTTTTTTGAAACAACTTTTTTTTGGATTTACAAACTGGGGCAGGGGGGCGGGGATACATAGTTAGCTGAGACAAGATGATGTCAGTAATTTCCAGGCCTGGTTTAAAACAGAGTCCACTTTGGGCTTCTATATTGTGGGTGAATGAGAACTTAGGATTTGGATCCTAATACATTCACTGAAGAGTTGGGAATGTTATTACAAAGAAGGGGTTAAGAAATTTTGGTTTTTTAGCTATTAATGACTTTTCTTGAAAAAGTTTTAACATATTTAAAAGTATGAGACCATTTTCATTATAAATTCAAGAGAACATGAGAAATAAGGAGGCTTTGGCAAGGGAAGGTGGAGGGCCAAACATAAAATAGAGAAAAAAATAGAGTAAGATTAAACAGTCTGTGTCTAGGACCCTGAGGACATTGTCATTGGCTTAAGTAATGTATCTATATTTTGCAACCGGAACACCAAAACAAAGCTAGGTTAAGAGAGGATGAAATGATTAAGCCAGTGAAAGTATCCCCGCCTATCATTACTTGGATGATAGTGAAGGGTCTTCCGGGTATCACGGAAAGTGATGTGTCATGCTCTTCAGAAGTTACACATACTCTTAATTTCTCACACCAACTGTTAGTGCAGCATATATGGGAAGAGAAATCAAGGGGTGTTTCGTGGACAAAGCAGTAAAAGAAATGTGAAAATTGTAGGAGAGAGAGTTGAACGCTGTTAACTGAGTGCCCATCTATAATTTTTGTCCTCCTCTGTCTATTAATAACTGTAAAAACCAGATCTGGTTTTGAGTTTTTATTTTCATTTATAATCCCCTAGTCATATTACTAAGAGTTTTTGAAGATAACTTTGTTAATTTTTTTCCTGAGCATTACTGTGATGTGAGACTTTGGTAATCAGTCATGTTTTCAGCTGTATTGCATTTACGTAGGTGACGGTAGGAGTTGACTTAATTTGGCTAAAATGTTTTTATTAAATTATAGCTGGTTTTCCCCATTTTGGTTTTAAAGGAAGTGCTTTAAGAATCTGCCTGATGAGTAGTAGCTGTTAGATAAATGGCTCTCTTGTTGCCTCCTCCATTTCAGAGTGCCCGTCTTCGGGCTGCTGGCATTGGAAAAGATTTCAAAGAGAATCCCAACCTCAGGGATAACTGGACAGATGCAGAAGGCTATTACCGTAAGTTCACAGTTCTGATTAATTTTAGGGTTCATTACAACATTTTGTAGAAGTATGTTGCTTGATGAAGTTACATGTTGGAGAACTCTGAAAGTCACGTCACAGTGCCATCACTTAAAATGTGTGGCACATCTAATAGCTGCATGAACCCATGTTGTATTTTAGTAAGCAGCTCAGGAGCTTCATGAATAGAAGTGAGGTGAAGACTTGATGTGCAACTTAAATCTAATCAAAGTTGTTTTCAGCCATGAGATAATCCTCCAGAAGGAAGGGGGAACGTCACTTGCTCGTCTTGATCTGAAACCAAGAAAAACGACATACAGGAACTTGGGATGCCAATCATGCAGTATTTGTCATGCAGGACTACAGTTGGAAACACTTCAGTGAGCACATTTCTTCCCTACTCAATGTTAAAATCCTTAGCAGTTGATAGGAAGTGGGCATGCAGCTTGAACCACATTATGAAAGAGTGACTGATGGAGGCTCGTCTTTGATTCTCCGTGGTGTCTAGGAAGCCAGGCACACAGTAGAGATTTGACACGGTTTTTTTTAAGTGACTGCGCTGTGTTTCTTTTTGCTTTATTATATGTATCTCATAGTTTTGTTAAGTAAGTATTTACTATGGTCGAAATTCCCGTTTCTTAATTTACTTTTTCAGGTGTGAACATAGGTGAAGTCCTAGATAAGCGTTACAATGTATATGGCTACACTGGCCAGGGTGTCTTCAGTAATGTCGTACGAGCCAGAGATAATGCAAGAGCCAACCAAGAAGTGGCAGTAAAAATCATCAGAAACAATGAGCTCATGTAAGTTCAGAAGACCTATGTAATGAAACCTAAAAACACAGGTAGTCACAAATGAACATTTTTAAAAAGTAACACAATCTGTAAAAGTATTGAAGTTATAAAATAACAGAAGTCTGGTAGTGAATCTGCTGCCTTTTTTTCTTTTATACAATAGAGGTAATTGCCATACCCATAGGTTTTAATAAGCACAGTCTATACCACACACTGAGCTGATGTTAAAGTCAACTTGCCATCGGCTTTAAAACACTGGGCATAATGTTACAGATGTATATTAACATCTTCAGCTGCCCTAGGCTTAGAAAATATTTTAAAGCCATTTTAAAAATATGGCCTACTGACAAATTATAACTAGAATTTTAGAGGAAAACCAAATGTTAATACTTGGTAAGACATCCATTCTTAGTTTCTTATATAGTGTGGTTCCATTTTTGTTAAAATAGCATTTACATCAAGACATTTTTTAAATAAAAATATGCAGGATTGGGGGCACCTGCATGGCTCAGTCAGTTGAGCGTCCAACTCTTGATTTCAGCTCAGGTCATGATCTCAGGTTTGTGAGATTGAGCCCCACATCTGGCTCTGAGCTGGGCGTGGAACCTGCTTAGGATTCTCCCTCTCCCTCCACCCACACCCCCCCGCCCCCAGAGAAAAAAGAAAATGTGGAAGATTGAATTCCCTTCAGGCAGGGTAGGTTTGTTCCTCCAATGTTTTTTTCTGTTAATTATTGTGGAAATAAGCTCCGTGGAAACCATATTTCACTAAATATAAAGTATTGTGTGAGTGACCTACAGACTTGTCATTCCTCAACAGATTTACTATTAGTACTTAAAAATCCAAACTACTTATCACCTATGGTAAATCAGACTGGAACTGGTAAATATTTAGTTTTCTTAAATTCTGTATTCAGTTTTGAACTAATTTTCTTTTCAGGCAAAAAACTGGCTTAAAAGAACTAGAATTCCTGAAAAAACTTAATGATGCTGATCCTGATGACAAATTTCATTGTTTGCGACTCTTCAGACACTTTTATCACAAACAGCATCTCTGTCTCGTATTTGAGCCTCTAAGGTACACTGTCAAACCTGTACATTACTAAAAATTTAGATAAACACCATGACAGATTTCTGGATGTTTATTTTTTCCAGTTAGCTCTGGTTTTGTTTTTTTACTTTTGGTTAAGAACTAGCTTCATGACAATCATTAATGTAAAGACCGTAATTGACCACATACTATGTGTCAGATAGTAACCTTATGTAGCCTTCAGCTCAACAGAGATTCTCTGAAAGTTAAATACTTCCAAGGAAGGATCACAATGTAATAAAAAGAAATGGGAGTAGTGAAGTAGAAATAGTTTTGATCTTCAAAAGTATGGCTTCAGTTTTGGGCTTTCAAATGTAAACCCATTCTAAAATCAATAGGAATTTTACCATTGTGTGTCTTCCCTTCCATTTATTTTGAAAATTGAGTTTTATTGGAAAACTGTCTTATTTATATACAGGTTCATGTGCTCTCATTTTAGTGTAGAATAATTCATTAAACATCTGGGCTCATGAACAGATACTTTCATTTTAGTTAATGTTTTGGATTTGATTTTACTTCATGCTTGAACATGGTTTTGCCTTTTTTATTTCCATTTTGCATTTTAAGCCCTAATTTTGTGGGTTTTTTTTTCTCTCCTAAAAGTATGAATTTACGAGAGGTGTTAAAAAAATATGGTAAGGATGTTGGTCTTCATATTAAAGCTGTAAGATCCTACAGTCAGCAGTTGTTCTTGGCATTAAAACTCCTTAAAAGATGCAATATCCTACATGCAGATATCAAGCCAGACAATATCCTGGTAAGTCAATCAATCAGGCCACCTTGTATATCCATATAGGTTCTTGCCAGTAATGTGATAACCACTGTATTATTCTAGAAATGATGTCTTAATAACTCAGCATATTACTCATTACAAAGGACTTAACCAGTGTTTACTTTTTTGGAAATTGGTCCATGAAATTTTATAGTAAAGTATAAAGAAAGAGGAAATAGGCTATTTTCTCAATTTTTTCCCTTAGATTGATGGATTTGGAGTACACACAAATCCCAAAAGTGCCTTAATGTAGTAATGATGGGCTTCCTCTGGTATCTAAACACAAAAATGCACATGTTGCTGTTTTGAAATGGTGTTCACAGGTCTTTGTTCTCTAATTTGTGGTCTGACAGGCTTAGAGACATTTAAGGAATTATCTTTTAAATAGAGGTATGGAGTAGTGTTTTATAGGTGCCCAGGAGGGGCCCAAAGACAGCAGAGCTAGGTTGTGATTAGATGTTACGTTGAAAGGCGTTCCTTTCACATTCTTCATCTCTTAACTAAAGACTTCTGGGATGGTAATATGCAGCTTTCACAGGGTTTGTGTTTTTTAAATTTAGAAGTAATACATTATCATAGGGGAGTGATGAATACACACATACCGCTTCCTTCCCTGGCACCATTTATTCACCCCTGTTCTGAGGTATTCAGAGTTGGGGGTGTGTTCACAACTTGGGGAATTCCTACCTTGTCTGCTAATAACATTCTACACTTTTTTTTTTTTTAATGATTTTATTTATTTAAGACAGCACAAGCAGGGGGGAGGGACAGCGGGAGAGGGAGAAGCAGACTCTCCACTGAGCAGGGAGCCCAAAGTGGGGCTCGATCCCAGGACCCTGAGATCATGACCTGAGCCAAAGGCAGATGCTTAACTGACTTGAGCCACCCAGGTACCACTTTTAGAAGATTATGATGCCATTAAAGTTTGTTAAGGACTCCTCATCAGTAGCTTAGCTCTTAGTTCAGATTTTTCTTCTTTTTTAATATCTTAAAATATATCCTTCCAGACTACCACGTTAATAATGAGACATTCCATCTTAATAGGTTTTGTTTGACTTTACAGTGTGTTACACATCTAATATAACCTGGGGTTAGAGGAGCTAAGTAATTACAGTGAAATAAATGAATTGTAGACTTCATGTTAGGATTGAATTGTAGACTTTTCAACTTCATAGTTAATTTTTACCTCAGTTTTGTTTCTCTATTTTAAATTGTGAAGTATACCATCTGTATCAAAGAACGTATAAAATACGTAAAATGTAAAGGTAACTATGCAGTGAACATCTGTGTAACCACCGTAGAAGTTAAAGAGTAAAACATTTGCCAGTATTTTAGGAGCTCTTATTTTTAAAACTTTATTTTCCTTGAGTTACTGCTACTCTAGTATAAGTTTACACATGGACTTCAGACATTGAATGTTGTCTCCTTCCTGAGAAAGGAGGAAGTAGACATCAGAAGCTAGAGGGAGCTGTTTGTGAATGAAAATCCAAAGCTTTTAGCCCAGGATTTCAACCATCAGTGTGGTAGGAGCACCATGTTCCTCAGGGAGGATAAATGTTGTCTAGGAGTGCGTATAAGTGTGGATACCCTGAGGTTGTTGAAGGCATTTTAGCCAGCCCAAGAGTCCTACTGATAGGTTTTAATTTTAAAATTGTCTTGGGATTTCTCTGGGTTTTAAACTGCATCCTTAAATAGCTGAATGCAGTTTAGACTTTAAAAAGTTTCGGAAGTACTTGTGCATTTGAAGATACCGATTTTCTTGATTCCCCAGGTGAAGAGAATGGTTATGAATATGGCAGTGAAAAATAATCATTTCCATTAATAGCTTAATTCTGTGGATATCCTCTGTAATGGGCCAATCTGTAACACTGACCAAGCTTTATGATATCCCAGTAGAAAGTGGCTAGGACTATTTATTTAAAGTGTTAAGTTTCTTTGGGGTGGGAACCGTAGGCCAAGTTCAAGTCCCAACTCGGAATTTGTGTGTGTCTCTTTTGAAGGGGGGAAGGGACTCTGGAATATGAATTACCTTCACTTGTTAATCCTGAACATGCTTCTGACTCATGAGTGGCAGCAGCCATGGGAGCAACTCCAGCCTTTCTCAGCAGATGTCACTGTTACTGTGTATGTTGAAGTATTTACAAAGGAAAAAAAGAAACAAATGACTAATATAGAGTTCATATTTATCAGTTGTGCCAAATATATTTAACATTTTCTTGACTAATACCTTCTTTATATTTAAGGGATTTAATATTTTTTAGACTTGAAGTGATTGCTAAATTTGGGATGGTCTAGCAGCTTCGGATGAAGAATGTTTTTATTCCGTTTTTGTCCAGATTTAATCTGAATCATCCTCTGCTTTCATTGCTATCGTAATTTTCTGGCAACTGAAAGTTACCTTCAGTTAATTGAAAGTTAATCTAAGTCTGATCCCTTATTAATGAATTGTCTTCATGTTCCCTTAAATAGTAACTCGACTTTATTCAGGTATTCTGGGGATTTTTAGAAGATGCTTTACTTCAATAAGATTTTTCTCTTACTACCCCTCCCTTTTCAAAGTAGCATTGGTTAAAATTAAGTGTACTTGGTATTATCCCATATTTCCTCACTGAAAAAGTTATTTTACTAATTATAATCAAATATTTGATAGCTCTTAATTTTTTATAATTAGGAAATTGAGTTATAATTAGAAAAGGAATTATAAATGGGTAACTTTGTTTTCAGTATTGGAAGTAACTTCTCAAAGCCAATTATTTTTATCTGATTACTTGTCTTAATTATTTCTGGCATGAATTAAACTTCCATGATAAAATGTTTTGCAGGTTAATGAATCAAAAACTATTTTAAAGCTCTGCGATTTTGGGTCGGCTTCACATGTTGCGGATAATGACATAACACCTTATCTTGTCAGTAGATTTTATCGTGCTCCTGAAATCAGTAAGTTTCTTCAAATGTTCTTTGACCTGGGCCATCATATGCAGTGGAAACAGCATATGTAATGTCTAAGTACTGTTTTCCATCGCACTTCAGCAGCTGCACGAGGTCATTGATGAGGAAGGGAACCGTAGCAAGTTCATCCTCCTCAGGTGGAATGGTGGTAGTTGTGACAGGAGTCTTGATCATGTCTGACAAGAGTAGCAAAACAATTGTGGAAAATCCTCGGCTTTAGAAGACTGCTCTTGATTACTCAAGGTCTGATTATCAAATTTATGGATTGTATGGGACCTTTGTTTTTGCTCTTCCTGTTGCCTTGGTTGAGGCTGGTTAGCACCTCCACCAAAGGTGAAATGAGAAAAGAAATACACATTTCCTTCTACCCCTCCCCCCATTCCTTCCGCATTCCCTCATTTTTTAAGGTTTTTAAGTTTAAGAGTCTGTTAAGAATTAGTGGGGGAAAAACATGAGGTTAATGCCAAAGCGAGGTATTAAGATTGCAGTTATGTAGGCCAAGCTAGATTAATCCCCTATTAATGAAAATAAATAGTTGATTGTTTCTGACATCATGTATTAAACTTCCATTTTGTTTTCAGTTATAGGTAAAAGCTATGATTATGGTATAGATATGTGGTCTGTAGGTTGTACCTTATATGAACTCTACACTGGAAAAATTTTATTTCCTGGCAAAACCAATAACCATATGTTGAAGCTCGCCATGGATCTCAAAGGAAAGATGCCGAATAAGGTAGGACATTAATGCGAGCTGTTATTTTTTTTTTCCCCCCCAAGGCCTTAGCAATAGTTTACTGTAGACCAGTGGATTGCTGACACTTTACTCATCACTAATGGCTGTAAAACCATTTCAGAAAGGCCGGTGTATGGCTACTGTAATTCCTTAGCTTTTGTTTATTTCTGCTGTTTAAAAAGTAGTGGGTCTAACCAGCCAAGAGCTATCAGAAGTGAATAAGAGAACTCCATTTTCCTGTTCCCCTCTAATGTCTCTCTTTGCTTTTCTTTACCCTCTTAAATTAAGCAGGAGGGTAGGGGGCCGTAGTTTAGAGTTGGAATTGAGGAAGAGAGATTGATGAGCATAAATTTGTTAAGCAACATACATGTATATTTGACTGTTTCATATCTTTGTTCTTCCCTTGTTCCATTTATTATCCTTTAATGATGGGCAGAGAAGCAGCCTTGGGAGCACACCGTTATTGGTAACAGCACCAAACATGCTTGAGAGGTGGAGTGAAAAAAGATGCAGGTCAGGTTAGTTCAGATGTGAAGAAGGGCTCAGTTGTCAGAGAATGACGGGTGAATATTGGAAAAGGAGCTTGATGGCAATCAGTTTATTAAAGATTGGAAGTTATTTGGGATAGGAAGATACCAAGAAAAACTCCCTTAAAATTGACATCTTTCTAACATAAAACTCACCCTTAATGCTTCAGCCACAATAATTAGTTTCAGAAATGAAGCAGAAACTTTAGGCATTTATAAACCTGAGGGCCATATCTTAAACTTTGATGATTTCAGCTTATTTGCTGAATTTCTGAGAGATTATACAGATTTTTCCCCATATAGGTCAGAAGCCACTACGTTTTTTAGGTACTGTCCAAATTCTCTCATGTTGGACTTGTTTAGAATAAGTTACACAGAAATTAGTTATGTTGGTATTTGTTTTAATGAGGTCTGACCTGTATCATTTCAGGGCTATTGGAACATAATTTGTAAAACGTCATCGGGTTTCTTAAGCTGCCAAGAAAAAAGGCCCCAACTGTGTAATATTTTTCCTAGGAACAAATGATTTTTTGTTTTGTTTGAGTCTCAATTTTGAATAGTGAAAGCACAACGTGATATTATAATTGGTTTAAGTCACTGCCTGGGAAAATATAATTTCAAGTTACTGAGTAGTTTCAGGCACAGCATTTATATTAGCTTTTTCAAAGATGTTAGACTCTCCAGAGCAAGGAATCTAAGTGAATCCTTAAATGAAGAGACTAAATAAGTCCTATTTGTGACTTGTTATGTATCAAATTGTTGGTAGGCCAGACTGTTTTATAATAGTTCAAAACCCAAGTTTTATTTTGCTTTATTGCCAGATGATTCGGAAAGGTGTATTCAAAGACCAACATTTTGATCAAAACCTCAACTTCATGTATATAGAAGTTGATAAAGTAACAGAGAGGGTAAGTCTCTTTTAACTGTGCTACAGTAAATGATTCTTATTGTGAATGAGCTGAATACTGGGTGGTAGTAGGAGCTGTGAATATTTAAAACACTAAAAATAAATCCTTTTTGCTGGTGGCCAATTCCTGAATAAAACACAATGAGGTTATGAGAAAGAGGAAGGATTTTAAAATGTTTGTCTAGTATAATGAGTCTGTTTTTATCATAGGTCATAATTAGACCCTCTTCCTCTGTTCTTTGGATCATTTTCTTTCTCTGGCCTCCCATCCAGCTTCTGGACTGCTTACCAGAGTGATCTTTTTGAAAACAAATCTGATCATGTTATTCTCCGTGCTTAAAATCCCTTCATTGGGTTCCTCTCTGATGAACTCTACCTCTGCTGTCTTGAGCAGTTTGCATACCCCCTCATGGTACTCTGTAAACCACCCCTGGTCCATACTTGGCAGGCAGCTGTGTCATACCTCTCTGCCTTTGTTCACAGACCATCCTGACCTTATTTGCCTCCTCTCCTTCCTCATCCCCTAAAAATAATTTATCCAACTTCAAGCCTCAGGGGAAATACACATTCTCTATGAGCCTTTCCAAATCCTCCAGGTTGAAGTAAGGACTTCTCTGTTTTTGCCCCCTTATATTGTCTGTTCCTAACTTTGTCAGAGCCCTTAACAAACACTTCCATGTCTGTCTGTCACCACTTCGGGGTAGGGAGAGGACAGTTAAAACAGGAAGTGCTTACTGTTAATTATTATTAATTACTTAACGGTGTGGGGATTTTCATAGACTTCTTTCTGTTAGCAGTTTGGTCTTTTTACAAACTTGGAGTATGTTTTTTAAAAACTATCATAGCTAACTTGGGGTTGATTTTTTTTCATTCAGGTTTTTCGGTTACTTCTTAAAAAGATGTAGGGAATAGAGGAAGTCACGTAGAAGTTTTAAATGAGTAGATAATATATATATATGATATATATATACACACACACATATGTATATATATTAGAAGTTCTGAGACGCCCAAGCAGTCTGATTTAAATTAAGGTACATATGTTTAGTAACTCATGTAGACATACACATTTTTAAAAATTATTTTTAGGAGAAAGTTACTGTCATGAGCACCATTAATCCAACCAAGGACCTGTTGGCTGACTTGATTGGGTGCCAGCGACTTCCTGAAGACCAACGTAAAAAAGTACACCAGCTAAAGGACTTGTTGGACCAGATCCTAATGTTGGACCCCGCTAAACGAATTAGCATCAACCAGGCCCTACAGCATGCCTTCATCCAGGAAAAAATTTAAACGAGATGAAAGAAGCTCCAAGGGTTTGAGTAATTAAATACAAAGACTGAAGAAATTTCACAGCAGTTTATTAATGTATATAAACTTATAAATATTTCTCCAGCAAATTTGAGGAAGCATGATATATTTGAATTAACACCAAGGGTGATATTTCTTTTAGAAATGTTAGTTAATCTGTTTTGTGTCTTATGTGAAATTTCACTGTAGAACTGTTTTAATTGCCAAGACTGCACAAAATTACAGTGCTAATGTATATGGTTGCAGTTCACATAAAAGACAAAAAGCATCTGTTATAAAATGAGTAGTAATATTGGGTGGTTGATTTATTTTTAGCAAACTTGGCTTCATATTGGTCTTCAGATAAAATGGCCAGCATAAATGCTGTTTATATTCACGTTTTCCTAGGTGTGTGTGTGCAGGCCACAGCAGCATGCCCTTGGTGTAGTCAGTGCCGAAAGGGGTCTGTTCCTTCTTGAGCCTGCCTGCAGGGATGGTCTCCTCTTTTAAAGCAGGTTGTGTACAACATTCAGTACACTGAAGGTAAGCTAAACCATCAACATCACTGGTGTTTTAAGATGTTATTTTACTGGAACAGTTGACAAATGAGGGATATTAGCTTTGTGGCGGAATTCCCTGCATGTGTGGTAACTGATCTTGTTTTATTTTTTGGCATTGCAACTGTGGCATAGTTACAGTTTCTGTTCTGTTCATCACATTTAAAATTGGAAGAGTACGCGCTTGATGGATAGAGCGCCTTCAGTGTACTGTTTCTTATTAACTTTAATTTTTTTAAATCAACTTGCTATAGACTTTATATACATTTTGTTAAATACAGTTCGTAGTGACGTAGAAACAAGGCATAGTTTTCCTTTACTAATTACACATGTTGAGGCCTAATTCTGAAAGTCCTCATATTTAAAAGTTAGACAACATAATGAAATTTTTAACTATTTGTATGTCATTTTGAAAGTGTACTGCTTTATGGTAAAAGTGTTTTTCATTTGTTCATTGTTTTCATTATTTGTGATCATGTTGTCTTTCAATACAGGCATAAACCTTCCACTCTTGAACAAAGCAGCTGCTTTTTAAAAGCGGTAATTGCTTCTTTACCTTTTATTTCTTTTGTAAATGAAGCTTTTCTTTAAGAATGTGACTTTAAAGTGTTGTCTATTGCATAAAACAGTTGACACTCACTTATTGTAAAGTGAAGATTGTTCTCCTGCATGTGAAGTGGACCATGCAGATTTCTGTATGTTCTCAGTATGCATCACTAGATAATAAAGTCTTTTGTGAACAAGGCATTTGTAGCCATTTTTAAAAGTTTTTGTCTTCAGTGCTGGTAAGTCAGGTAAACCATACATAGTTAAAAAGCAATCTTTCATTTCTTCCTTTAAGTCTTTAAAAGATTTATTTGTTAAAGATGTAAGCTTAGCCACAAGTTGATCATTTTATTAATAATCAGGATCCTAACTATTTCATCAAAAAAAAAAAAATCCTACAGATATTGTCAGCTTTCAGTGTAGTGAGATAATTCCTGTAGGTTACAGGGTGTAATTCAGGATTTAACTAATGTTTCTGCTATTTTCTCACTTTTCCTTTTGATGGTGCGGAAAGAGAAAAGGAAAACGGGGCACAGGCCACTCACCGCCTTCTCCAAGGGGTCTGATTTGCTGAGACACCAGCTTCACCTTCTTAACAAGGTTATTTCTGACAGCATGTGTAGTTAAACATTTAGCAACGATTTAAAACAAAATCCTGTAAATCAGCTTGGTTTTGCAACACAAAGGAATTTGTATTTTTAACATGGTAGGAGAGCATTTTCAGAAATGTATGTACATCTTTTCTGTTTGGGTGGTAAAATTAATGCTTGTCTTCCTGAGCATTGTGGAAAATAACCAGATTTTGGGGGTTTAAATAATATTTTTAAATTGTAAATGGGATTTTTTTATTCACCCAGGCACCTAATTACAACAAGCATGCACATTTTGGTGCATTCAAGAATGGAAAATCAGAATAGCAGCATTCTTCTGGTGGGTTTTGCTCCATTTAAAGACATGAAATGAACTACAGCCAGGAAGGTGATAGATGATATAATAAGCCAACTTTGAATCTACACCCCGTCTCTTCATGGTTTAGACTTACTAAAAATAAATAAAAGGTGGTTTCCATCTTCAGGTAGAGTGAAGCCTTTTAAATAAGGCATCACAGGTGCAGCTGTCTACCTTACCAAAATGGGTAGTGATTTTCCCACCATGACTTACTTTATTTTGGTGATAATATGCTGCATATTCAAGTCTTTGGTAGTTATTTTCACTCGAAATAGTTAACATTTTGATGCTTCTGGTGATTTTCGTGACTTCATTTTATATAATTATTTAATAAGTAAGTTAACTTCCACTAGAAACAGTTCATCTTATGCCTTCAAAACTGTTACCTATTCTTTAAAAAACAAAGTTGCTTGTTACTTGTTCTTTGTGTTTTAGGTGCAGTTCAGTGGAAGATGATGACAGCCAGAAGACATGAGCTAAGGTTTCTGTCCTATAAAAGATTTAAAAAAAAAAAAGAAAGAAAGAAAGAAAAAAAGAGTTCTCCATTTAATTTTTGTCTAATTTTTTAGTTTTCAGCATTATGATTTGGGTTTCGTTAATGTTTGGCACTTAGAATAGTAGTGCTGTTGTGGTGCACATCTGTAAAGTGCTTGTTTTATCATGCTTCCTGCCTCCTTCCCCTCCCCCCCCAGTAAAAACAGTAGTCAAATTTAGTGACTCTTTATGAAAGAGTCTTGAATGGTGAGATTCCACATAACACATGGCCATCAAAATTGGTTCCTAGGGGTTATTAGAAAAATAGAAACCACCAAAATCACATGTATCAAAAAGTAGTCTTTAGCTTTAGGTATCTTATCTCCTTGGCAGATGCAAAAGAATAGAAAGTGGAACTTTAAGACCACTGTTACTCAACTCCTTTAATACTCTAGTCCCCAACTTTCCCTTTTAGTAACTGTTTTTGCGAGTGCTCCAGTCATGGTCTTAAGATAGACAAAATATTTAGAACCACTGTCCGTTTTTCTTCTTAAGTGAGAGAAGTAGATCTTTGTTCCCAAATTTAGCATTCCTAGATTTGTCTATTCTAAAAACCCATAAACATTCTTTATGTACATATACATGATTTTATTAGAATTAATAAGTTTGCTGAGGCAGAGATTTGGAACTTTGTAAGACCTCTATTAGATGATGGTCATAATTTAGTGAATTATCTTTAGCCTGCATTCATATTTCAGAGTAGCTGTATAGTTTTCAAATAAGTTAATCTCTGATGAAGCATTTGTTTTATTATACTTCACAGCAAAAATATCCCGTGATTGTCAGATGTCAGGGTTCCTAAGTCTTAGGATCTAACCCTCAAAAAGATCATAGTTTTTTCTGTAGTCGGGGCAGGTGAGATCCAGAATGCAGATACACTGTAGACCCTGTTCTCTATGTGAACAGGGTCATGGTTTTCATTTCATTTCATTTCATTTCATTTCAACAGGGTCATTATTTTCAAAGTCATGGTTTAGAGTATCAAGGTTGGAGTATCAGGTTGGACTATCGAGGTTTTGAAGGAAGGGAACATCTTAATTTTAAAGACCTTCCCAGTATTCCCATTCACCCCTTAGTCCTTATTAGTTGCATCCTGTTTATTCCCCAATGTATAACTCATTCCACTCTACTACTTTCAAAATAAGTTTGTTTTTAAGATACTGTAATTTTTTTCCCATTATAATAACCACCTTTTTTCTCCAAAACAAATACTCAGGACATTTCTACAATACAAAAAAATGTATGTTTTATGGTATGTGGTAGAGGCAGAGAAACGTGTAATGTTCTCAGATCTGTTTCATATTTGCATTCCTCCTACTATGCTTTACCTGTTCTTTATCATTTTGTAACGCTAGCTGGGTAGGTAGAAATAAATCTCTGGAGTGAAACAGAGGAATCACATATCTTCAAATTTAGGCCAAGTAGTTAAAGAATGCCCTTTTAAATGTTGGAGATAACTCAAGTAATTTCCTTTCATTAATTATAATGACATTAGAAATTGGGCTTCATAAAAAGTGTTTCTTTCCTTGTAGTATCGTAGTTCAAGCATATATTCAACATGAGTTTATCATCCTCCTAGATGGAATATCTTCCTTATGGAAATGTTCACTACAAATTCATTTGTGTTTTTTTACATGTCAATAGTGTACACTAAATTGACTTTTAAAATGTTTTCCAGTTATTTGATAGATATCATCATGGCATCCTTAATTTTTTTTTTCTCCTTCTGTATGTAGGGTAAGGGGCTATTCTTCTGAAGAATCTTTCCATTTAGTGATCAAGATATGGAAGCTGGTCTCTGAAAATACTCAATATGTATCCCAGTTACTCGTGGTATCATTTGAATTGTAACTTGCATTTTAGAAGCAATGTTTCCAATTATTGGGAAAACTTAATAAAATATGCCTCTTGTTACCATATTGTTTCCTGATTTTTCCTCTGCTGGAGTTTGCTATTTTACATTTAGTTTTAAGTTCACCATTTCCTACCTAAGGTTTCTTAGATGCTATTTCACTGGTGTTCATAGATGTGCTTTGAAGGGTATTCTGTGCCCAAATATGATTGGCAACTGCCAGATTAAAGTTAGATATTTATGTTAAAACTTCTCAGAAGATATCTGATGTGCATTGTGAACCTCTGAAGGAGAAAGGTGTGGAGAGAAGTTTACCAAACCACTTGGCAGAACCTGCTGCATGGAAACGGCTAATTTAGTATGATCTTCCTTACAAACATCAAAATCTTTCCTAGCAACTAAGTACAGAACACATGCCAAAGGGTGTGGTATTCATGTTCTTGTTATATACATTTCTGATTTGGTTACCTAATAATGAGATAACACTCTTTTCTGTAATGATTTAAATCAGTTGGTTCATTATAGATGGGGAAGCCTGACAAATAATTGGACTGTATCCTTGGTCTGTCCGCTCCTCATTTTCTTTTAAGGAAACATTCTCAGCTTAGAACAAGCAAAAAACCTGTAAAATACCTAAGAGGAATGGGGAGATTGAGTGAATCTTTAATGCAAAGCAGGACTGGAGGAGGCAGGGCCAAGGGTCTGGCTGTGTGGGGTACACCTGACCAAGCAGGTGCCACCTTCTCTACCTAGTTGTCGAGCACTGGTTTTTGTAAGAGATGGGCCGTAAAGGCAGTGGCCCTGGACAGCCGCCTTGCAAAGGCCCCAGTTGTAGTTTTCTACTTGGGCTGGCAGAGGATTAAGAACTACATACTCGTCTGTCTAAAGCAACTGACAAGGGTCGTGAGATCATCTTTTGTTAGGGAAGGTAGTATGCAGGGTGCATTGGGTTTGGGAGGCGGTCACGGCAAAGAAAGTCAGAATCTGCCTCGGGTTAAGATCCAAAAAGGAGCTAAGAAAAGGTGTCCGTACTGGACAGCCAAAACATGGGGAATGTACAAGCAAGCCAGAGAGCCAAATTCAACTAAAATTTCCTGAACAGAATTATTTCAGTTTATATGCGTCTGTTAGAAGCTGCCAAGTGTTTCTTCAAAAATAGTGGTAGAAGTTGGCTTCCAACAGGTTTGAAAAACAGCCGAGTCTTTCAAATTTGTTGGTAACTATAGTGCTCCCACCCCCCAATGGTAAGTTTTTCTCTTGGCCAAATGTTTCCTGTTTTACTCCCAACACTTCACAAGATAAACTGAAGATGGCTATCTACTTCCTATGTAGATGTCTCTTCTAGCCTCATTTCAGGGACTCCATTTAAAAAATTTCAATTATTGGGGAACCCTCCTGCACTGTTGGTGGGAATGCAAGCTGGTGCAGCCACTCTGGAAAACAGTATGGAGGTTCCTCAAAAAGTTGAAAATAGAGCTACCATATGATCCAGCAATTGCACTACTGGGTATTTACCCCAAAGATACAAAAGTAGGGATCCGAAAGGGTACGTGCACCCCGATGTTTATAGCAGCAATGTCCACACTAGCCAAACTGTGGAAAGAGCCAAGATGTCCATCAACAGATGAATGGATAAAGAAGATGTGGTATATATATACAATGGACTATTATGCAGCCATCAAAAGGAATGAGATCTTGCCATTTGCAACGACGTGGATGGAACTGGAGGGTATTATGTTGAGTGAAATAAGTCAAACAGAAAGACATGTATCATATGATCTCACTGATATGAGGAATTCTTAATCATAGGAAATAAACAGGGTTGCTGGAGTGGGGGGTGGGGTGGGAGGGATGGGGTGACTGGGTGATAGACACTGGGGAGGGTATGTGCTCTGGTAAGCGCTGTGAATTGTGTAAGACTGTTGAATCACAGGCCCGTACCTCTGAAACAAATAATACATTATATGTTAAAAAAAAAGAAGATAGTAGGAAGGGAAAAATGAAGGGGGGGAAATTGGAGGGGGAGACGAACCATGAGAGACTATGGACTATGAGAAACAAACTGAGGGTTCTAGAGGGGAGGGGGGTAGAGGGATGGGTTAGCCTGGTGGTGGGTATTGAGGAGGGCACGTTCTGCATGGAGCACTGGGTGTTATGCACAAACAATGAATCATGGAACACTACATCTAAATCTAATGATGTAATGTATGGGGATTAACAAAAAATTTTCAATTATTTTTACTAATGATCATAACATTAAAATAAGTACCTTTGCCTCATAATTGAAGTCAGCATTGCTGCTAATGCATTTTTTACATAGTTATATTTAAAGCAATTTGGGACTAATTGAAAACTGGTAGGTGTGTCAGTAACTACTTTTTTAGGTCTAATGGCATCCTAAATAAAGTAGCCTGGTTATGTTTCCAGTGAGAAATTTGCCCTACCTATCTCTTAAGACATCGAAGCCCAGAATCCGTCTCCTCCCACCCCCCCAAAGCAATCCTTCAGTGCAGGAATGTATTTTTTGGAACTGCTGACACAGTGATCTATTACCTCTACCTCTGTAGTACTACTCCCTACCTCCTGTTTCCCGTCTCCCATGTCCACTCCCACTCCTGGTCTTCCTGGAAACCAGGGCTTGTGTCTTCATCACTCCACAGCATGTTCCTGACGCCGGACACATGCCTTGCAAGAAGCAGGACGTGAACCATCGGAGTTGTTACTCCAGTGACAGTTAATTCAGTGCTGAGGCAGCTCGTTCCATCCAGTGTGCCCTCCTGTGTCATTCCGGTTTTTCCCCTGATCTATTTTTTTTTAATTTGTCAGGCGCTTGATTCAATCCTCACATGATTATATGAGAGAAAAGGTCCGAGCCGAGGTTAAGGAACCTGCCCGAGGTGCAGATGTGTTAAGTGGCAGAGCCTGGCTGTGGAGCGGTGATGCTGAGCCACATAACCGGCCTCAAGGCTGGGCCAAGTCCTTTCCTTAATCCAATACTTGGAAGGGATCTACAGACCAGGCGATGGTTGTTCAGAATAAGAGTGGTGAACTGAACAGGCAGGTCCCTTTCCTGGCGCTTTTACAGATAAAAATTACATCATTACGAACCTAAAGGTGAGGGGGTGAAATCCAAGCAAGTGAAGAAGGCACAAATGAGAATGGGTAAGAGGTCTGCCAAATAAGGCTCGGGACTCAAGTTAGAGTTGTAACAATGAGAGGAAAGGGGGTTGACGGGAAACAAAGACCATTGCAAGCTGGGATGGAGTGAAAGCATGAGTCCGTTTTTACATTCTGTTCTGTGAAAGGGATGTTCTACCTCTTTGGATAATGACACCAACTGGGATTTAGGTAAGGTTCTGTTCTATGATAAGAACAGTTAAGTTTATTTTTCTATTGCCATGTTGATACAATTCCAGAAAATTCTTTGAAATTAATCTAAAAACTGCCTACTCTCTTTGACCTCTGCTTCTAATTCTTTGAGCCTTATTCTTTTACTAAAAATAGAATAGCGGGAACTGAAGCCACAGTTGCTCTCTTCAATATGCATTTGAATTGTCTTTTAATTCATCTCCCCCATCCCTATCTCAAATATTTCATCTGGCTTGGCGGGGGGGGGGGGGGGGGGGGGGGGGGGGGCGCCCACAGGGAAGATGATACACAATATTGACTGTGCCTTGGCAGGGGGCTGGGGAGTAGGGATCCTTTTACTTCTCAGTTTCCTTTGGGCAACGCTTGAAGTTTTCATTGTGTTTTTTTAATGTTTAAGAAAAACTCATTTGAATTCACCAAACATCCACTGAAACCAAAGCACACTATCCCTACCCCCGCCCGCCCAAACATCCAGACTCTGAGCTATGCATTTTACACCAACTTTTTCCTTTACAATGTTTTTCAAAGTGTGATCCAAGAACCACCCGCATTAAAATCACCTGGGATATTTGTTTACAATGCAGGTCCCCAAGCCCCACTCTTGGGTTCCGTGTCCTTGGGCCTGGGACAGAACCCCGGACTCAACTTCTTTGTTTCCCTGATTAGGTGCAGTAAGGTGTGTCAGTCACATAGTCTCCCCTACACACACACACTTTCTATTAATGAGATAAGAAGCTTTAGCTGTTTGCTTTTCAACTAACTGAAGTTAAGACTTGCAGCAACAAAGAAATTTGGGGAAAAGTTCCATTAACATGAGATTTTTGGCTGCTCTGTGGACAGCAACCTTTTCTCGTTTTTCCTTTGACATTCTAAAACTGTTAGGTCTGAGTGGAAGAGGGTTGTTTCATGCCTACAACTATCATTCGGACCCAAGAAAACTGATCTCGCTTTCATGTATATGACAAAGGACCTGGGAAAGGAAAAATTTTTAAGATTCACTGGAGGATCTAGAGGATCTTGCATATTAATTCAACAAAATCACAAGTATCTTAGCTTTTAATGGCCAAAAAAATACTCAAAAGATAGGTCAAGATGATAGACAAAGGAGATTTTAGAGCTAGCAAAGGAAAGAAAAAAAGGTACCAGAGCGGGAAGAACTAAAAAAATTAATTTGCTAATAGAGCTAATGTACTCTTAAGACTATAATGGGGGGCGCCTGGGTGGCTCAGTTGTTAAGCATCTGCCTTCGGCTCGGGTCGTGATCCCAGGGCCCTGGGATCGAGCCCCGCATCGGGCTCCCTGCTCAGCGGGAGGCCTGCTTCTCCCTCTCCCACTCGCCCTGCTTGTGTTCCCTCTCTCACTGTGTCTCTCTTTGTCAAATAAATAAATCTTAAAAAAAAAAAAAAGACTATAATGGAACACAAAATACACCAGCAATCAGTCGATTACAGCATTTACTGATGATGGAATTCTACTGGGAAACACAACAAAAGAATAATCTTTTGAATAGTTTTGAAACATTCCTTTGAAACATGACACGCAAAAGATTGTCAAATATGTCAGGATGGAAGCCCTTGGATTTATATATAGACATCTCAGCAGTGCTTTTCACAAGTTCCACTCCACATCACATCAAGTTATTCATGTGTGTAATACCTGTATCTCGGCATGATGAACCGTATTTTAGCCAAGCTTCTTGGAAATAGATTTGCTCACATTGAGATGCAGGAGAGAAAAGTTATTTTTGGTCAATGGGTGAACACTTATCCTTACCTACAAAGGAAGGCGATAGACAGTTTAACTTCTGAATATAGAATGGTTTGTTCAATTCTATGTTTTTTTGATAAGGTTTCTTTTTGGTCCTTGGTGCCTTAATGTCTTCTCTGTGATTTTCGGGAAAAGAGAGAGGTGTAGGTGAAACTGGTATTGGAGACCTTGGTGGCAGACATCTTGTTGAGACCATCTTAACCAACGATTGAGTTGTTTGGGAAGTAGTGGGCTTGGCTGAGAGTTCTTGGCATGGATTCAAAATGGAGCTTTTGAGATTCCTAATGTCATCACAAGTTGCCATCAATTGTTTGGTGGCAGATGAACTTTTTAGAGACGGTGGTCTAGAAGTCCATTTGTATGTATTGCCGGCATTGCTCCAATTCCATTTGGAAGCATTTTGTTCAAGCTTGCAAGATCCAGAACTGCTTTTTCTTTTTTCGCGACTTTTATCTACACAAGTTGTCTGAAGACTCAAAGAGTCCGAAAGTTTTGGTTGTCTCATTTTGGAGATAGCTTTGGAGGAAAAGGGTCGCTCAGTAGCTGCTGGAGTGCAGAAGGTAGTTTGAAGTCTGGGCCTCTCTTTTTGTATAGTCATGTGTTGTAACCTTTCCATTTCCAGTAAACGAGTTATCAAATGTTCAATAGAGCTTTCGGGAGGTTCCACTGTCGCTTTCCAATTTTCAGATTTTGAGAGGGCTAATTTGTGCAAGTCCAGAGTATTGAAAGGAGAAGGGAGAAAATCAGGATATGGAAATACTTCACTTGGTTCCTCTGTGAAAGATTCCTCAACATTTTCTATTGTTTCTGGCTTTAAGTTCAGGTCCATCTTTTTAAAATAGCTGAGCAAACTATCATTTGCTTTTTCATTTTCTGATAAATCACTTTCATCTGTTAAGTTTTCTTCCACACTGCTGTTTCCATATTTCAAATTCCAATTTGGGGCAGATAAACTTTCACCATTATTGTTTTCCATGGCTGAACATAAATTAACATAAGGCTCATTTCTGTCCTGAAAAAAGTCTCCATCAGCATAGGGCCAGCAGAGACCCGATGGTATCTGGAGGCCAGAGTAAGAACCAACTTGCTTATCGACCGAAGCACTTGTCAGGGCGGGGTTCAGAGTGAAGAGCCTCATGGGATTATTGGCTACATTAAAGCCAGTTTCCACTGCAGACTTCTTGAAATCCCTTTAAAAAAATGATTTAAATAGTGAATGGTGTGTTGACTAGAATTAAAATGCTGTTAAAATGATAATAAGCAAAATTATCAAAGACTGGATAATGTTTAGTTCCTAATGGCCTATGTGTACCTATCTGTAACAGAGATATGTTCATTTCCAAATATGGCCAATTATATAAAACTATATACATTTTTTAAAGTATAGATTAGAATATTAACTGGACACCCCTTTGTGCATGCACAGGTGACGAGATCATTCTACCCACAAATGGGCTAGCTGTGTCTATGAATGGCCACTAGGTTAAAAATGGCTAATTATATCTATTTGCCTATGAACATATTGTACATGCAGTGATGATGTCTAAGAAGGGGGCTCTCCAACTCAAACTGAAATTATGGTGAAACATTTACGGACACAAGATTAGATAAAAGGAAACTCAAAGAATGTAATTAGGTTACTCAATAAAGCCTTCTACTTTAGCCATTGTGGTTTTAAAAATTGTGCTAACATAAAAGGAAGCAAAACAATGTTTACCAAATCTTATCCCATAGTAAAAAAGAAAGAAAGAAAGAAAGAAAGAAAGAAAGAAAGAAAGAAAGAAAGAAAGAAAGAAAGAAAGAAAGAAAGAAAAAGAAAAAGAAAGAAACTGTATAATTTAAAAAATTAGGGGCGCCTGGGTGGCTCAGCCGGTTAAGCGTCTGCCTTCGGCTCAGGTCATGATCCCAGGGTCCTGGGATCGAGCCCTGCATCCGGCTCCCTGCTCCGCAGGAAGCCTGCTTCTCCCTCTCCCACTCCCCCTGCTCGTGTTCCCTCTCTCGCTGTGTCTCTCTCTGTCAAATAAATAAATAAAATCTTTTAAAAAATAAATAAATAAAAATAAAAAATTATCCCATAGTAATTTTCATCTGAGGGTCTTTTATTTTATGAGTAATGCTTCTAGGTGCTATATTAGAATGAAAACTGCAAAAGAGCCGTGTTGTAGAATACTGAGTTTATAGTTTGTTTCTTTTAAAAGCTTATTAGAAATTCTGACATTGGGGGGCGCCTGGGTGGCTCAGATGGTTAAGCGTCTGCCTTCGGCTCAGGTCATGATCCCAGGGTCCTGGGACCGAGCCCCGCATCGGGCTTCCTGCTCAGCGGGGAGCCTGCTTCTCCCTCTCCCTCTGCCTCTCTCCCTGCTCATGCTCTCTCCCTCTCTCTCTCTCTCTGTATCTCTGTGTCTCAAATGAATAAATAAAAAAATCTTAAAAAAAAAAAAAAGAAATTCTGACATTGGAAGAGTTGAAACATTAATTGACATATATAGTCTCATTATCTTCTTGCTTCCTTTAATGCCAGTTTACAGTAAAGACAGCAAAGTGTTCTTTTTTTTTTTTTAAAGATTTTATTTATTTATTTGAGAGAGAGAGAATGAGATACAGAGAGCATGAGAGGGAGGAGGGTCAGAGGGAGAAGCAGACCCCCTGCCGAGCAGGGAGCCCGATGCGGGACTCGATCCCGGGACTCCAGGATCATGACCTGAGCCGAAGGCAGTCGCTTAACCAACTGAGCCACCCAGGCGCCCAAGACAGCAAAGTGTTCTTGAAGGATTTTGAAAAATACTTTTATTTCTATAGAAAATGTAAAAATTTATTGATTTAGCTAAATATTAGTTAAACTCATTTGCTTTTGTAAAACCATGGGAAAGTCATTTTAAATCTACAATTGATAAGAGACAGAATCCATGCTGTTTAGTGAAAAGAGCATGGAATCTGGGGGTGAGGACCTAGGTTTGAACCCCTTTGCCACCAGTGAGCAGAATGGTAATGACAGCACCAACCTTGGGGTTGGTTGTCTGAGAAGCAAAACAATTGCATGAATGTACTTTGCAAAATGTTAAACACTAAATCAAAGGTATTTTATTCTTGATGGCATACTGAGGAGAAAAATTTCAGTGATAGAGTATTTCACTGATCCTGGACTTCTTTCTTTTTTTTTTTTTTTTTTTTTTAAGATTTTATTTATTTATTTGACAGAGAGAGACACAGCGAGAGAGGGAACACAAGCAGGGGCAGTGGGAGAGGGAGAAGCAGGCTTCCCGTGGAGCAGGGAGCCCGATGCGGGGCTCAATCCCAGGACCCTGGGATCATGACCTGAGCTGAAGGCAGTCGCTTAACCAACTGAGCCACCCAGGCGCCCTGATCCTGGACTTCTAACACTGCAACATACTTAGGCTTCCCCAGGATTAATAATAAATACCTATCAAACACATGATTCTGTTTAGTCCTCACAACAACCCTATAAGATAGGCGCTTTTATTTTCTACCTTTTATGGGCAAGGGAACTGAGGCACAGAGTGGCTAAGGTCACACATCTGGTAAGTGGTGGAGCTGGGATTTAAACCTGAGTGGTGGCACCCCATGTTGGTAATCCTAGCCACTGCCCTCTACTGACTCAGTTTATGTTTGCTGTATGTTAGTATGATAAAATTCAATTTATTTCATTTGACCTCTTACCTTGAAATCCTTGTTCCCAGCAGAGTTCATTCTAGTAAAAGTAGCCTTTCCTATGCCCCTCACACTGACATTCCTTTGGGACATTAGTCACTACGGTCCCTTTAGCGCTTCTTGGACTCATTTCAGCATTAGGTTGAGTTTTATCCTGAGCCTCACCGAGGTAAAGTCCTCTGACTGGGAGACTGCTACCAATGAGCCATCCTACTGTCAAAAGTGGGGACAAAACTGAGGAACTAATTCTAGTTCTGATCCAGAACTCAAGATCTCCATTAAACAACACACTGTATGTAAAAGTGAGCCAGTATTCAATAAATGGAATCTCCATATAGTAGTAATCTGTGTTTGTGAGAAGCATTCCAGCTGGTTCTAACACACATTCAGTTTAAGAACCAAAAAATAAGAATTCAAACCCAAGTAAATTCTGAGAAACAATATACTGTAGTGCTTGAGAGCATGAATCTGATTCTGCCATTCATTCATTGTATGACTTTGGGCAAGTAACATAGCTTGTCACCCTGACTCAATGTCCTCATCTGTAAGATAGGGATGCTGACAATAGTGTCTTATAGGATCATTGTGACGTTTAAATGAATTAATATATGCAAGGGACAGAAATCATTCCTGCCCCATGGACTGTTATTTTTCTATCACAGTTTCTATTACAGTTCCTTTTCCCTTCGACAAGAAGCCCCAGCTCTATCCATGGAAACTCTCATTGTTAAGGGCACAGGAAACTGAATTCTTCTTACACTGATGATCTCTGGGGTGTACGCCAGCCACTTCCTATTTTAGGGTGAGTTTCCATAACTTCCCACAAGTGGCACACAATACTTTTTCTTCTGGTTGTTCTTCTCTTTGTCTTTCAGATGAGTAGTTAACTCATTTGCATTTAAATGCATCTCACTAATTTAGGGGGTTACGAAAATAGATATTCTCTCACCTGTTCTCCATGGTACTTCCTTCGTTAAGAGGATAACTCCATAACTGAAATATCCCTTGTTTACTATTCTGGAAACAGAAAAACCATGGACAACATTTTAGTAACTGCATGCATTTAAAAAAAAATACTTTGATTATGATGAATAACATCTCACCTGTGTTCTTTTGTGAGCATGCTCTGACAAATTTAGTTCTAGCATCAGTTGCTCTATTGGAATTTCCAAATGGTTCTATAAAGCAGCAGAAGACTTTTAAACACAATACATCTCTAGTCCCTGTTACTGTTCTAAGAATGTATAGTTCTTGTTCTAACCAACAAATATATTGTAAATATATTGTAAAGTCATAAAATACTCCCGTTTATACATACAGATATCATTTGTTTTTACTGACTTCAGCAGGAACTAGTTACAAATACCAACAGTGTTAACTAATGAGCCTCGAATATCATTAAGATTATCTTTATTTTACTAACAGTTAAGTGTCTTATATTTTGACCCAAAAAAGTAGATGAAAGATAAATTTCCTCACTATTTCAAAACAAAATATTAACCATTTTAACTGCCTCAGTATATCTTAAGAGCTGAGACTACTTCTCTTTTGGAAATGACTACAAAACACTATAGTCACTACAGTGTTAATTTCCATTTCTGGTATTCTTATATTGAAAAAATATATAATAAAATGTTAACTTAATGACCAGTTTGCAGCCCTGCAGAACAGAAAAGGCTTTGACTTGTTTGAAGAACTCTACAGAAATGAAATTGAAATTTTTAAAAAAAGAAATTTTTTTTAATGAACATACATATAATTTTAAAATAATGTTTTGTGAATTATTTAAAACCAAACATTTATCCTTACCTTGTTAATTTTGCCTGAAAGAATGTGTATGGAAAAAATGACAATTAATAGTTACATAAAACTGGTTGTATTAAAAACAAACCCCCTTTAATATGAGTGGTTATTCATATTATAAATATGAATGAACATAAATTTGCAGTATTTATAAATATAAATACACACATCTAGGATTTCTTACCACCTACTGCACTGTCCTTTCCAGGTGGGAGATTTTTATTTTCAGGAGCAGGTACTTCTGAATCCAAATTCCAGTGAGACAAGTTCTAAAACAATATTTGTTTTAGGATGAACTTAACGTTAAGAACACTTTAAAAGCTCAAGTACATAATTTTTCATGTCTGTGGCTAAAGTATGAGAAAGGCATAAAGTTTCATGACACATTCCCCTTCCTAGAAGGACACTACCAGAATTTTTGAGAAGAATGCAGTGTTCTCTAATCAAACTTATTATCAGCTTGATAACACCTATTAGGAGATAGGCTTTTACAATAATTTACGGTTTCGTTCTCACTTTGTTAAAAATAATGACACACGGGTTTTCAAAATTGATTTTAAAAATATAATAAGATATCCAGTTCAGCGTGTCCCTGGTACACAATGGCACATTCGCCAAATTTTCTGTATCTGAACACCAGATCTGATAACCCTATAAAATCTTTCCAACCACCAAAGAAAATTCTCTAATCTTCACATTGTACTCAGCACTGACCAGCCCACTACTCATTCTAGACTCCAGACATTGAAACGCACTCAGGAAATATTCAAAAGCAAGCCAAAAAATGAATAGGGAAAGGCACGAATATGTACTATTTATGTTCCAGACATTGTGCTGAATGCTGTGGCGGAAAAATGTGGAGTGTGTGCAGGAGAGGATTATTAACAATTTATCCTGGAAGAGGGAAAGTGAAGAGGTGAGGAGTTTATTAAAGAAAAAAAATAATAATTTTTTGAGAGCAAACTCCGTCGTTTTCTATCTCCAAAAGAGAAAAGCCTTTGTAAATTACACAAGTAAAATGTTAGGTATCATCCGCAAACTAAAGGAGGAACAGGGAGAATAAGCTTAAATACAGTATGAGGATTTAATTGGCCCACAAGAAAATTATCTCCTGCTGGGAAGGGTAGCTGAACATTGGAAGGTAGGCTGCAGATTATCTTTTTCTGGAGGTTAATTCCCTGCTCCCCAAGATGATACATAATTAGGTCTAGTCTCTACGAGAGAATCAACTGGGGAGCGTTTTAAAAATGATACTTGAGGGGCACCTGGGTGGCTCAGTCGGTTAAGCATCTGACTCTTTTTTTTTTTTTAAAGATTTTATTTATTTATTTGAGAGAGAGAATGAGAGAGAGAGCATGAGAGGGGGGAGGGGGAGAGGGAGAAGCAGGCTTCCCGCCAAGCAGGGAGCCCGATGCGGGGCTCGATGCCGGGACTCCAGGATCACGACCTGAGCCGAAGGCAGTCGCTTAACCAACTGAGCCACCCAGGCGCCCAAGCATCTGACTCTTGATTTCAGCTCGGGTCATGATCTCAGGGTCGTGGGATCGAACCCCGGGTTGGGCTCCGTGCTGGGTGTGGAATCTGCTTAAGATTTTCTCTCTCTCTCTGCCCCTCCCCTTGCTTGCGCGCTCTCTCTAAAATAAATACATCTTTAAAAAATAAAAATACTTGAAAAAAATTACTACAAGGTCTGACTCAGTAGGATGAAGGTAAGTCTCAGTTATTTGTATTTTTAAAACCTCCCTGACAGATTATCAGGCTTCTTTCAGCTCTCTGATCCTGGCCCACTAATGTACAAAATAACATGTGACAGAAATACCCTTACAGTGACACGTAAAGGGAAGCTGATGAAAACTGCAGTTGAGATCATATAATAAGATTAATATAACCAAATTTGTCAACTGGTAAGGGAAGCTATCAACTACACACGAGGTGTGCTAGATTGCAAACTCCTTACAGGTTGGGAATTGATTATGCTTTCTGATACCGCCTCCTGCCTTACCAACATTTCTCATAGAATATGTGTGAGAGAATAAAAAAAAAAGGTGAGCACAGCCTGAGGGAGCAAGGCAGCATCTTTCAGGAAATCCAGTTGCAATAAGAACCGGTTTGAGATTTGGAGAGAAGCTGGTTAATTTTTCCTTTGTTAAAAGAAAGAAAGAAATTTCCCACTTGATATTCCAAATGTGCCAAGAGGAAAACTCAGTACAAAGTGCTCACAAAGAGAGAAAGCAGCAGGGATGTGGGCAGATTCAGCGGGAGTGAGATCTTGACCAGGGGAGGGGCCCAAACGCTCAGGTTAAGCCATTAGCCTTACCTCATGGGAGATGTTGGACCCACGCGGGTTGGTACCACTGTTCTCACCATTTCTTCTCCCCATTTTGGTCCTCTGTTTCCTTAAAATCCTACACAGGTTGTGACAGGCACATTTATGGGTAAGGTAGAACAACGATTGTTTTAAAAGCTTGAGCTTTGGCTCCCTGTCTAAAGGAGGTCCAACAATGCTTTGAGTGCAGGAGAATGGGGACTATGAGGGCAGAGGAGGGCTAACAATATGAAATCAGCCAGAAACAAGGGGGACCAGACCCCCCCCCAAGAAAAACACGGAGAAAGCAAATTGTAAGATCTGACAGAAGATGAGGATATTAAGGTCTTAGGTGAGAACAGAGACATTATCAGACAGAAAGATAAAATACAAATCAGAAAAAAATGATGAATTATCTGAAACTTATAAAGCAGGGCCATGAACTCTTCTTTTAATTATTCAAAACAGGTGCTACGTTTGAAAGCAGGATTAACCTCGCAGGCAGAACAGGCACCCCATGCGTGTTTCCGGGACACTAAAAGGCCCACAGGGACAAGCAGGGACAAGCATTACTTTCCACGCCCAACTGTCATAGTATCTAAGCCCGCTACTGTTTTTTTTTTTTTTTTTAAAGATTTTATTTATTTATTTGACAGAGACAGAGACAGTGAGAGCAGGAACACAAGCAGGGGGAGTGGGAGAGGGGGAAGCAGGCCTCCCACTGAGCAGGGAGCCCGATGCGGGGCTCGATCCCAGGACCCTGGGACCATGACCTGAGCCGAAGGCAGTCGCTTAACCAACTGAGCCACCCAGGCGCCCTAAGCCCGCTACTGTTTAAGGTAGAAGGATCAGAAAACTATCAGATAACAGGTAAAACAATCATTAAGGTAGGACTATCCGGAAAGAATCACAAATTAAAGCCACCGCGGTAATCAGTATATTTGCGAATCGTTTACAATTTATTGTCTCCTAGAGGGAGAGGTGTAACCTGCAGAAATAGAAGGTACAGTTCAGGTAAGTTTTGAATCAGTAAGTATTGATCCACCCGCTCTGTGCCGGGCCCTGGGATGGAACGGTGAAGGCGGAGGGGTTTGCTGAAGAGGTGGCGCTGCGTGGGGCCATCCACGTGTGTGCCACGGAGTAGGGCGCCGGGCGCCTGGACGAGGCCACCGCGCCTGGAGGAGGGGCCCGAGGACAGGGGGCCTTCGAGACAAGGGGTCGGGAAAGGAGCCGCGGGGCAGGAGAGCAGGGCGGTGCAGGTGGGCGGCCCAAAGCGCGCGGGCGAGCACCCCCCCGCCTTCCGTGCCGGGGTGGGGGGCGGGGCGCAGAGCGGGGGCAGCAGGTGGGGCTCGCGGGGGCGCCCCGGGCCGGCCTCTTACCCCACGGCGCCGCAGGCCCACGTGTCGTCCTCAGCGTCGTCTCCGAGGGCGCTGCCGCCCCGAGGCCCCGGCCCGTCCGCGTGCGGGGCGCGCGGCTGGACGGGCGCCCCCTCGGACCCGGCCTTCCTGCGGCGGGAGGACAGGGAGGGCAGCGGGCGGCGGCCGGCCGGGAGCACGGCCCCCTCGGCGCTGGACGGCCTGCGGGCCGCCGGGACCCCGGCGGGGCCCCGCGCGGCCAACCTCGGCCGGGGCTGCGGCTCCGCGGGCCTCCCCCGCGGCCGGGCCGCCCGGCAACTACCATCGAGCGCCCGCGCCCGCGACGGCGCCGCGTTGCACCGCGGCCACCGGTCCCCGGGGGCCACCAGGCCGCCAGGCCCGCGGGACGGGCGACGCGACCGGGGGAGGGCGCTGAGCCGGAGCCCGGGCCCCTGCGCCCCTCCGCGCCTCCTCCGCGGCGGCCCGGCGCACTCGGCCATCGCGGGCGGAGGGGGCCGCCCGGGGGCCGCGCGCGGGCGGCGGTCACGGCCGCCGGGCCTTCCCCGGCCTTCTCCCGCCCTGGCCCTGGCCCTGGCCCTGGCCCTGACCCCG